AAAAAAAAAAAAAAAAAAAAAAAAAAAGAACAGAACCAGACAATGAGGAAGGAAAAGACAAATAAATCACTTTGGTAGGCAGTATAAGGAGAAGAGAGAGATAAACTTGACATCAGAGGAGATAGGATTTGAATTGCCAGTATTTGCAATTTGATCTTTAACACACCTATCATCTACCCAGAACATTCTGCTGTAAATACAAAAATTGTATTATCTCTGTAATGCTTAACATAGTGTATTAAAAGACTTGGACATAGTTTCCTTACTATTATATGAAACATTTGCATTTTTCAGGCAGAAGCTGACAGTATTGTGAGTTTGCAGTCATATAGAGACAAATGCGAACCTGTTTTTCTCTTTAGTGTTGTAAGTATAGCACTTGTCTCAATTATATTAGTAGATTCCTTTTTGCAGTTAAAGAGCAAATAGTGTTATAAAATTGTCATGGCACTGTTTGATGGTAATAGCAACTGTATGTTGTTTGCCTTATCTTTGATTGTCTATTATTATAGTCTATAATTTGACATTTAGGAGCTCATAATAGGTTGAAGAGCTTAGCCTATCAAACAGTGAGGTGATCAGAGAAAAGTAAAATAATGTGGTGCTTACCTGTACTAAGGAAATCATCAGAGATTTGTACACTGAAGTATTTACAAGAGTCAAAAATTGGAAATTTTCAAATACCAGCAGGAGAAAAATGGCTATAAATATTCATAGACACCCACACAAGGAAATATCTGTATGATCATTATTTTGGAATACACACTGCTTTTACCTCTATATATACAAAGGAGGAAGACACAAAATTTAGTCATCAAAATTTTCTATGTATGAGGGGAGGAGGCATGCATTTTTCTTCATTACATTTCTTTGTGTTTTTCAAATATCCTGTGATAAACATACAACTTTAACGATCAGAAAAACCTAAGAAGCACTAGTGCACTATTTTTAAAAGCAGAGCCATACTGTCTCACTGTGTGATGTCTAGAACTGACCTAGGCAATTAGAAGATTTTCCCAGATTTTGGACCCAGTCTAATTTTCCTTCCTTCCCTCCACTTACTTTCCTTCTGCCTCCTACCTTACCACATTCTCTCTGCAGCCCAGGAGTGATGACAAGTAGACTTGCTGTTTCTCCCTCTCCTCTTGCTTCTTTCCTAATTCATACTGCCTTTTTTATTAGAAATCTGTTTTATTTGGCAACATGTTATTGTCCTCCTCCCTCCTGTTGCTTGCTGACCTTCAAAACATTTCTGTCAATGGCTGAAGGCTTTGGTATGTGGCACCAAGGCTTTTTCTAAAAACTAAGGCCTGCTGTCACCTTGGGGATATCAGTATTCACGTTCATATACTGTCATGACCTTCCAATTCCTGACCTCCTTACCGCCAATGAACTTTTACTGCCAATGAATTTTTCTTCTGGTGTGCCTCATTCAGTCCCTCCTATACTCACACTGCTGGCATTTTATCACCCGCTGCTGTACATCCATGACCGTTAAATTAAGGATCTCATTCTCTGATCACAAAACGATCCTCAAGCTTCTTGCTTGGTCATTCAAATATCCCCACAGTGGCCCTTTGAAGCCCTCTTGGCTGATGACAGATTCCTTCTGGTAAGTTTCAGCAGGCAGGGTTTCTTTTCAAGGGACTAGTTGAAAGGTTCCTTTTAGTGGGAAGTGCTAATTAGAGCTTCTGCTTTCGTTTAAACTTCTCAACTGCATCCTTTGCATTGGCCTTTGAATACGATGAAATCTTTTCAATTAAAAAAACCACTTCATTCTGACACCATGCCCTTCTCCAGCTACTTCTCCATTTCTTTTATTCACTTTACAGCTAAATTGCTCAGCGGTTTCTATATTTATTTTTACTGCCTTTCTTCCAATTCCATTTACTCCTCAGCACATTCAGTTTGGCTTCTGTCTCATTATTCTACCAAAATGGCTATTGCTAATATATTCAGTCACAAGCCTGTTGCTAAATATAATAGGTTTTTTTTCTTTTTTTTTGTACCGAGAATCCAACTCACAACCTCGTGCTTGCCAGGCAGGCGCTGTGCCACTGAGCTATATCCCCAGCCCGTAGTAGGCATTTTCCTATATCATTGCCTACCTCTCGGATGTGTTTCAGTTGTGACCATGCCCTTGCCTTTGAAAGGTTTTCCTTTTTCACCTTGGCAACTTGGTTTTCCTTTCACCTCTCTGGGTATTTCTCCTTTTCAACTCTTTTGCTGATTCATCATTTGTAATTTAGCTATTATGCTATCTTTAAAAAATTTTCTCTGTGCACCCTCTCAATTACCTGTAACTCAAATTTTCATCCTCAGTAATATCTATAGTTCGTACTCCAGACTTGTGCACCTAACTTGACATCTATTGGTTTTTGCACAAACCCTATCTTGCTAAAAACTCATCCGACACCAATTCCTCCTCCCCCTGAAATGTGAGATCCTCTTCTAGTGATTCCTCATTTGGAAAATAACATCGTGGTTCACAATTTACACAGTCTTCAAGTGAGAAACAGAAGAGTTACCTCGGAGACATCTTTTTCCAGAACACCCAATCCAAACCATACTATGGACCTGCCAGTTTCACCCCACCAAGGCACATGTGTCTGCTTCTTGTCATTCTTTCCACTTCTCCATAGACTGAGTGACCATTACCTACCATCTCACGACCAGAGCAGCTTCTAACTTTCCCACAACATCTCCTCCTTACCTCTTCCTTCCCAACTTTTTTCCCACACATCAGGAGAAAGGATCTTTACAAATAACAATTCTGATCATGGCCACGCTTCTATTTAATAATCCACTGGGAACACTGTACATAAGGTGTAGGCTGCATCTATACATGGGTCACAGGCTTTACATGATCTGATGTTCTTTGGTGCTGAGTCTCATCTCCCTTTGGTGCTGTCCTCTATACTGTTCTACCTCCCTCCAGCTTCATATCTTACATTTGCTACTCTTTGTGCCTAGAATGGTCTTCTTCCTCCTTTTTACCTCATTATTTCTTGCCCTTCTTTCCTATTTTAAGCAAAGAATCACTTTCTCATACTGAGAAATGCCTTCCTTGAACCCCTTGACCAGGACACAATGTGGTAGGTGCTGAGTGCTTTGTGCCTGTCAGAGTGGTATCTAATTGGGGTTGCCATACCACATGTGTTTATGATTCTGTGGCTTCTCTTTTTTTATAATTAGTATAGGCATCACACCTCTGATTCAATGTGGTGAAGCTTGGTTTCTTTGCAGTGGGAGGATGCTTAGGAAGTATGGTAGAAAGACAGACGAAAGGGGTATGGTGTCAGGATAACCATGTTGGGAGGCCTGTTCAGCATCCTTCCAGTTAAAAAAAGGGCACATCAGGAGAGAATGCATGCTGCTGCTCCTCTATGTCAATGACCTGCTGTTAGGTCCTGTTGAGGGGCACAGCTATGGCTTTGGCTCCAGAAAGACAGACAAATTGGAAGTAGAACTCGAAGAGCTGGATTTATTAAATCTAAAACAAAGTTTAGGTTATTGTTGACTTAATTTAAAATGATTGATGACAATAGCTAGAAGAGGATTGGTGAGAAAGAGGGTTCAGGTAGGAGCAAATTAGTCCAGATTATCTTTTCTTGACTTGTTCTGAAAATGAGAGTTTCATATTTTCTTTTCCCTTACATACAGAATGGCAAAGTAATTGCAAAGATTCAGGGTGCAAATGCACCACTAGTTAATAAAAAAATCGTTACCTTAATCACTGAAGAGAAGAAGATTGCAGCAGGCGAAATGGTTCGTCCTCAGGTAATGCCGTGGATATGATGACTATCTTAATTTTTAAATGCATTGCCTTTTTTGTTGTTTTGCTACAGCATTTTCCTAACTTCATGTATTAATCAGCTTTCCATAAAGTGGCCAAATACCTGAGTTAATCAACTTATAAGGAAGAAAAGTATAGTTTGTGTCATGGGTTCAGAACTTGCAGTCTATGGTCACTTGGTGTCTTAGTAATTTTCTCATTATGGGACAAAATGCTCAACACCTACAACTTCAAAGAGGAAGGTTTATTTTGGTTCTTATTTTCAGTGTATGGTCAGCTGGTTCCACAGTATGAAGGGCACTGTGAAGGGCTGGGTGGAGGAAAACTTCTCACATCATGATGTCCAAGAAGTGGAGAGCGGAGGGAGGAGGTGGAGAGGGAGTTATATCCTCCAGGTCACACCCTCATCTCCAACCAGACTACATCTCCAAATAACATGTCAGCTATTAAACCACCATGATCCCACCACCTTCCAAAAACCCCACCTCTAAACACATGAGGCTATGGGGGGGTCCATTCTAGATCTAAACCATAAAGTTTGGCCCCACTGCTTTGAGGCTGTGGTGAGACAGAGCATCATGGCAGCAAACTCATGCTGGAGCAAGAGGCTGGAAGGCAAAAAAGAAAGAAGAGAGGAGTAAAACAGTGTCCCACAATCCCCTTCAAAGTCTCACCCCCAATGACCTAACTATCTCCCACTAAGCCCCACCTCTTAAAGGTTCTACCACCTGTCATTAGTTCCACAAACTGGGGGCCAAACCCTTAATGCATGGGTCTTGGGGGACACTTATCCAAGCTATGGCACTTCATGACAACCTAGATATCTAAAAGGTACAATCTTGGAAGCATTCAGCAATGTGAATCAAAGGCACCTTCAATTCCTTGGGTTATAAATATTTATTTGAAATAAATTTCTAAACTTTTTTTCACCATGACACTAAGACAACTGTGTTTTACTTGCATTTCTCTTTTGTAGTACCCTGATATTCTGCTCATAGAATTAGAAAAGACTAAGAAAACTCCGGAAAGTAAGTAAATTTACACTAAAGTAATGGCAAGGGTTTTCTGTTCAAGGGTGTTCATTAGAGTGTCATTAGTAACAGCAAAACGCTAGTAGCAACAGCGTTGTTAATCAATAGGGGACTTTGGGATAAATGATGACTGACACCTTGAAGGGTTGAACTACTAAAAGGCACCTCTTTTTCCCTTATATCTTTGGTCCCTAAGCAAAGACTTTCAGAGGTTAACCAGGTTAGCCAGATCTGGTGGTACGGGCCTGTAATCCCAGCACTCTGGGAGGCTGAGGCAGGAGGATCACAAGTTTGAGGCTAGCCTGGGAAATTAAATGACTTAGTGAGTTTTTATTCCCCCCCCCCAAAAAAAAAAATATATATATATAGGCTAAGGATGTGTGCTGTAAAAAAAAAAGTAACCAGGTTTAGGGATTCCTGTGTCCTGCAACTAATTTAGGCAGCAGCTTTCTATTTTAGCCTCTCAGAAACTTGTGAAAATGATTCATTCTGATGGCAGTGCTCTTGATTTACTTTGCAGTTAACAATTTCATACCTTCATGGGATTTCATGTGTGTGTGCATGTGTGTGTTCATTCTCTGGAGGGAGCAAAGACAGACACACTCAGTGACGTCTTGCACTAAAAGTTTGTCATAAGACTGTAGATAAATTTGCGGATGGAAATTCTGTCAGTCTATAAGCTTGTGCAGTGCATCTTGAAACTTCATTCATTGATAATACTGAGCTGGTTGGTTCATGTGGTGATTCAAATATATGTGAATGACATTAACTCCACCAGCATCTACTTTTGAAATGTCTTGACCTCTTGATTAAAATTTCTTGTGGATGTTTCCCTTGCATGTGAATATGTAACCTGTCCTTTGATTCTAAGTAGAAGTGCTTTAATACTTGAAATGCCATAATTAGATGTCATGCAATCAATGGTCAGAAAGTCACTGAACATCAACAATTTACACTTAATAATTGCCAGATTCTTCAGTGTCCCATCTTGTCCCAATACAATGAGATTGTTTTTTTTTCCCCAGGAGAAATTTATAACATTGCTATTATCAAGCCTGATGCTGTGCTTAAAGCAAAAGCTCAAGAAATTAAAGAAAAAGTAAGTAACCTTTATCAATAATAAATTAATTTCAGAGTAAAAGCTCCTTAACTGTCGAGTCAGAATTGAGCTTATAACTCAGAATAAAATCATATAATGAACAGCCGGCACTAGGTACCTCTAAAGGCTTTGGGCATTCCATATATTTACAAAGTGCCTATCTCCTCATGTATCCTCCTTTAAATAAACCTACTCTACCAGGTTAAGATATAAATTGTAAATTATAGTTCTTCTACTGTCATATATTCTCTTTATTTAGCTGTTAGCAATGCCATCTTGTTATAAACTCACATTAACTTGCTCTATCCTCTTATGTTGTTACACTTGGATGGTCCTTTTCAATTCATGAAAGCTTAAGAAAGCATTTAATGTCTTGCTTTAGAGCTCAAATAAATCATATTATATACAGAATAGATATATTTCATATGTATGTATTTTTCTATATATGAAACCATCTTTTAATTTAGAAGCCAGCAAACTTTTCCAGGAAAAGGGTCAAATAGTAACTACTTTGGGGTTTGTTTGCATAAGGTCTCAGGCAGCAAAAATAAATATGCAAGAGAATGAGTGTGGCTGTGTTTCCATGAACTTTATTTACAAGAACAGAGAATGACCCAGATTATGACTGTAGCCTGTAGTTGCTGATCCCATGAAAGAGGACCCCGTGGTGAAACAACAAAATTATGTGTGAAATTTGAAGCCATGCTACATGAACAATAGAAGAGGTCTTGTGAGGATCTGGGTCAAGAGGAATAGGAAAGTTTTTCTTTTTCTTTTTCCTTTTATTCACTAGTTTTTTTGTTTGATATGGTCAACATTCTTCTTTTTGTCCAGTTAGTATCCCTTCCTTATCTCTTTGATAAATAATTTTGAACTTAAAGTTAGCAAAAACAGAACAAAGAACATTTGCCCCTAAATCATTTGAGAGTACTTTATCAATAGTATGACCTCTGGTCCCCCAGTATTTGAGTATTTCTTTCTTAAAACAAGTGTTTTCCCCACATAATCACAATACAACATCAGATCGGGAAAATAGTATCAGTACTTCCCGTCATACATTCATTCTTTAGCTGTAGCAGCTCCAGTATTGATACTCCACAAGTTGTGGAATATATACCATTTGTTCCAATTTTAAGTTAGTTTAATTAGTATCACTTTCTAAGGCTTACGCTCCAGATTCTGGTGTGTGTGTGGGATGGGGTAGATGGGCAACAAACAGCATCCTATTTTCTCACACATGGCTAACTCTTTATCAGTTGCTTCAAAAGTAATATTGCACACCAATGCTCCACTGTTCCATATTAGAGTATACTTTAGGAGCCAGTGTGGTGAAAGTTTCCAAAATTAGAGAGTTCTTTTAATTGAGGGAGTACTACGAATGATCAATTCATGTTAATATTTCCTTGTTCTGGCATGATAAACAGCATTCCAGTGATAACATATATTCACAAAAACCTCACTTTTCCAAATAGTAAAAGCTTATTTTATTGGTAAATGGATGCAACTAGAGACCATACTCATAAGTGAAATAAATCAGAGCTTCATAGTGAAATAAATCAGAGCTGCATGTGTAAATTTTGTATTGTCTCCTACTGTGAGAACCTGGAACAGTAAATAAAACCCAAAAAGTAGAATAGACAGTATAAAAGGGAAGGAAATTGCTCAAAAGGAAGGAACAACTGGGATGAGGGAAAGGAGAAAAGAAAGAAGGAAGGAAAAAATATATGTATATATAAGGACAACTGGGATAATTATACTACTCATGTCTATTAGTTTATTGAAAGGAACAGTTAATGCTTAAATTTTTTTGACCAATTTTGCATGCTTATATCTGGTAATCTGAACAACTGGTTTGAAGACAACAATATGCAATATAACAGCAACTGCTGAATTCCTAACATCTTGTTTAGTGAAGCTCTGTATCATTTCTAATTTTTTAAGTTCTTTTTTATTCTCTTTAATGGTTTGATCAATCTTGCATTCTTACATCTGGTAATCTGAGCAACTTTGCTGAAGATAATGGTGTGTAATATAACAACCACTGTTAGTTTCCTGTCATCTTGTTTTGAGATTCTGTATCATTTTTATTGGTTTTCTGTTATTTTGTTTTTGTCTTCGCTGTTTTTATTTTGTTATTTTTTTTTCTCTTTAGAATAAAGAACAGCTTACAGGCCAGGGAAAAATCAGGAATGTTTTGAATAAAAATAATATAAATGTATTGCATTTTTAAGCTGCCAGGAAGGAGAAATTATCAAGCCTAAATGTTATGTAGACTTTTTTTCTGTTGTCAGTTGTTATATAGCTTGATAAAGATATGATTTGGATTTTTACAAGTTGTTCAAACTGGAATGTCAATTAAAAGTGGGGTCACTAAAATGCAAGTAATGCTTTATAGTATCATTAAATGCAATGGAACCAATAGAGTTTTTATTTTTATAATTGATGCAGAACAGACCTGGTGCTGGATAGTCCCAAATCAAATTGAGCCAACATTATTGGTATAATTTAATGTAATTATTGAGTTGTGTTGAACCCAAGTCCTATTTTTATATAATTGCTTAGAACAAAGCTTGACATACTGGTTTTAAAACTTCTCTTTGTTGCATTTTATTATATGTAAATGATATGTAAATTGAATTCTGTCGTTAAATTTTTATTAAAACAATTGAAACATGGCTAATTCTTAAATTCTAGTCCTTTTTAATAGTTGAGATGCATTTTTTGCTGACATAGTTTGTTGTCTTAAAAGAACTGCAATAAATTAGTAAGTTACAGACTTTTAAAAATTAAAATAAGTTAAAATAATTTAAAAAGTAATTAAGAAGTACTTAAGAATTTTTGGTCTTATGAGTAATTCAGAAAACTGTGGTATCTTTCCTTAGAATTAAGTGTTTTTTAAATTTAGAATCAGTTCACTTTTATAAAAGTATTTCAAAATCTCTGGTTCAATCGCTGAAAACTTGGATTCTAGGAGGCATGAAAGAACCCCCTTTCTATATTTCTGAGTCATTTCAAACCTAGTATTCTGTGGATTTTATTGAGGTCTTCACATGAAAAGCATTTAAATCTGAGTTATGCAGAAAGGGCTTCTGCACAGCATGGGAAACAATGCAATGGAGAGACTGTAGTGAGTTGGGAAAAAGTGTTTTCCAGCTACTGTTCCAAGAGAGGATTGATACCTAGAATATATGAAGAACTCAAAAAATTTAACACCAAAACCCCCAAGTAAGCCAATCAGTAAGTAGGCAAAGAAAATGAACAGACACACCTCAAAAGAAGACGTGAAAATGACCAATAGTTACATGAAAAAATGCTCAATATCTTTATTAGTGAAATGTAAAATGTTAATCAAAACTACATTGAGATTCCATTACCCTAGTCAGAATGATTATCATCAAGTATATATAATACAAAGCTAGCAAGAATACAGGGAAAAAGAAACCCTTCTACACTGTTGGTGGGAACATAAATTATCATAGTCACTATGGAAATCAAAATGGAGGTACCTCAAAAACTTTAAGTGGAGCTATTATTTTATTAACTATACTACTCCTTGGTATGTACCTGAAAGGAGTTAAGTCACAGTACTACAGAGATACCTGCATACCCATGTTTACTGTGGACATAGTCAGGCTAGCTAAAATAGACTATGTGCTGATAAACTGACAAAAAATGTGGTTATATATACATATATATATATATATATACACAACAGAGTATTATTAGCCATAAAGAAGAATGAAATCAGAGCTAGGAAGTAGCTTAGTGATAAAATGTTTATCCACAGTGTGGAAGATCCTGGGTTTAATCCCCACTGCCATAAAAGAAAAAAATATAATGTCATTTGCAGGAAAATGTATGGAACTTGATATGAACATATTAAGTGAAATAAGGCAGACTCAGAAAGACAAATGCTACATGTTTGTGTTTTTTTGTTATATGTGGAATCTAGGGGTGGGGGAAAAAAGACCACATAGAGGTAGAAGAAAGACTATGAAAGAAGAGAAAGGAAATCTAGGGGAGAGGAAGCACAAGAAGGTGTTAATGGGGGATGGAAATGATTAAAGTAAATGCATGTAGGAATATGCCAAAATGAAATCCATTATTCTGTGTGACTAATGTACACATTTTAAAAATCCTAAATTATCTGTTAGGCATAGGAAAAAAAAAATCCTTAACTTTATTTTAACTGTGATCCGTGACATAATCTGGTTCTAACCTAACTGCAGATCATCACAGCAGGATTTGTCATAGAAGCAGAGGAAAGGACCATGCTCACTGAACAACAAGTGAGGGACTTCTACAGTCAGATAGCAAACCAGGTAAACAGATTTAAAAAGGGATGGAGGTGTAACTCAGAGGTAAAACCATTTGCCTTGGCTGAGTGAGGCCCTGGGTCCAATCCTCAATACTGCAAAGGAAACCAGAAAAAAAGATTAAATATGGCGCTCTTTGTTCAAATATATTCAAATAGAGTAATTCCTGTAAGTAGGTCTTCATTACAGAAAAGGAAGTGAGTAAGTCTGGCCAAGAAAAAGAGTTTCAGGTGTCTCTGTTGGTGTCCATATCTTGGTGGCACCAAAGTTGGCATCTTAGGGAAATTTCTGGTAGAAATAGTGACACCCAGAAAAAGGAATAGCCCACTTATTTTGATGCAGTGAGGATCTCTTTTTGCCATGTCCTCAGGAAGTGAATATCCAGTCCTTTTCTGTGCATTTTTATCCTGGGCCGAAGGGTCTTTATATCATCAGCTCCACAGGAACGCCCTAATCAATTCTCTACCTAAAAGCCTTTCTCTCAGTCTATATTTGTTTACATTCTTTACTGCCTGGAGGAATAGGATAAAGGCTGTGCTGGATAGTGTTGGAAAGTAGCATTTGTTTGGGGCTCAGAAAACCTATCTTCCAGAAATGCACACTTCAATATGGTGGGTACTAGATGCATGTAGCCATTTGAATTTGAATTCATTAAAATTAACAAGCACTAAACATTCAGAGTCTCAGTCACACTGATCACATTTCAAGGGCTCAATAGCCACTGTGTTGGAGAGTGCAGAAAAACAGGTTGTTCACCAGAGGCAGTTCTCCTGGGCAATGCTTTGTAGGACAGGATACACCACTTAAATCATCTTCCTGGCTGTAGCTGCCACAGATAAAGAAAAGGAAGGGGTTGTCAAGCTGTCAGCAATACATTAAACTTTTGAGAAAATCCAGCTCCTGAACTCCACCCCAAAGCTACTGATCCAGAAACTCTGGAATGAGTTCTAGAACATTCTGTGTAACAAGCCCGTCAAATGACTTGGAAATATTCTAAAATTTAAAAGACTAGTTCCTACTGGCTATGGATTTCCCTCCCTCAAAAATGTCTTTGCAAATAAAGACTTATATGGATAACATTCCCTTGCCTATGGGTCATGAAAGGGAAGATGTCATTGGTCTTGCATAGTGCCCACCATTTTCTTCCATCTATCTCAGGAGCCTGAAATAAACAGTTTATCATTTTATTTTGTAGCCTGACTTTGAAGAGTTCCTGACTTTTATGACAACTGGTCTGAGCTATGTGCTAATTATAGCTCCAGGAAAAGAACAAGGTCATATGGAAGAAAGTGAGATACAGCCCAAAGAACCAACAGAGAGTGAAGTTAAGAAGTGGAACAGGTAAAGAAGACTAGAAATTTATCATTTAGAATGTGTCATTAGGTAATCAAATATCTCAAAATAACATGAGCTTCTTATGTTGTAATTACAAGTATTTCTTCCCGTCAACCCGAATTGTTGTCAACTGGATAAATATGAGAGATTAGTGATCACACTTCCATGTGTGGTAGGTGTGCCGTGGGAGTTTGATCTTGGAGACTATGTTGGGGCCTTGGACTCTCCCTCTCTGACTCATCTGCTCCTCTCTGCTCCTGGATGTCACTAGTTTTGCACATTTCCTTTGCTACACCCTTCATGACGTTTTTACCATGGATCCAGCTGACCATGGACTGAAACCATAAGCCAAAATACATCCCTCTTCCTTTAAGTTGCAGGTTAGTTACTTGGTCCCAGGAACGACAAAACTGGGACAACATACATCATGATTTCCCCAAAAGTTTACACTAAGAACATTAGAAAAAGAATTGCCGCTTTATGTCCTTCTAAACCCTGGGCAGACCAATCTGGCCTCATGGCCTGGGGCTTGAGAAGTATATCAGAATCACATGTGATCCCCTCAAACTTCTGACCTTCTTCCACATTCCCTTTCTGCCTTTTCTGTGCATCAAACATGCTCTTTTTCATAGGGCAGTTAGTGGTTCTAGATTGCTGACAAGATGGCTGTGTATTTTTGTCAATGAATTCATAAGCATTTAGAAATGGACAGAAGTAATTTACAGGATGTTGCTGCATGAAGGTATTTGTATATTTTAGACCTTTGAAGACTCAGAGAATCCAGAGCTCAACATACCAGTGGTGGGGTTGTGCCTGAAAAAGTGTTGGGTGAGCAGGAAGAGACTTAGGGTATCTGAGCCTTGGGGCTTTGTAGGGGTGTGAACCCACTGCTTGCCTCTCAGCTCTTTCGCATTTGTTGCTTGGGAGTCCCCACGACTTTTCTCACTGTCTTATTAATGAATAGTGGAGGTTTTCCATGAATAATTACATCTTCTGTGCCTAGCATTATCATATTGTTTCAGTTACAGGACATTCTAATCCCATTCACTTCAAGTTTTAAGCCATATAAAGGGAATGCTTAACTACTGACAAAGGGCTTTGTACTCCATAGTAGTTTTTTTCAGGGTCGGGGTGAGGTGGGGGTGTATAATGAGTGGGCAGAAGGAAGGCGTGGGTGGGGAGTGCTGGGTTTAAAGAGATGTTAAAATTTATATCATAGTTTTTGAGCCATTCAAAAATAAAACATGTTCTGTGAAACACCCAGTGATGCAAATGATGTAACAGACGTTGGAATTTTATTGGTACTGTTACCCAGGCAATAAGTCTCTATTACTTTCAACTTTGGAGAAGAGTTATTTCTGATTGTTCAACACCCATGTTACAGCATTGTGGTGAATTAACTAATGGTCAGTTTAAGAGGGAACGCCCAGCTGAACTAAGAAAGGTTCATTTGCATGAGGATTGTTGCCAAGAGCATGAAAGGAGATCCAGAAGGGAAGACTGCATGCTGCTGATTTTCCTGAAGAAACTGCTTTTGGGCAGTTTTTCTTCAAAGGAGCTTTGGCTGCTGTCTTCTTTCAGAAGCGCTTCAATCCTAATTTTCCTTGATGTCATCTCCTTGCTTCCAGTGCAGATAGCTCAGCCTTCTGCACAGATCCTTCACCCTGCCAGCACAGACTTTCTAGCTTCCTGCACTGACCCTTGGAACTTTCTGGTACAGATCCTTGATACGGATATACACACGACATGGCCATGGGCTCCAAGCCCTTGACTGGATCCTTTAGATCTCCAGCATGCAGACAGGTGTTTCACACTCTTCTATATCTGACTTTAGTAAGCACTGACTAACACATATATGGGCAGTATAGGCATTTTCATTGGAGTAGGGTGTGGCTGGAATGAGACCAGCCCACCTTGCTTTGTATGGCCTGTCACAGTTTCTTTCTAAACTTAGGGACCCTACTTGACCTTTGTCTTGTGTTTGTCTTGAGCACTGGGCCCAGGCAGGAAGTGCGGGATGGTGTGGAGCAGGCTTGGTTGGCGATTGTCATTGTTCCCACAGAGTTTTTCTCCCGAAAGAGCCTTCTAGAGCACCCTTAGCTCAAAGACAGAATTCAAAGAAAACAGTAGAAACCGTCTGGAAAGTTTTACATAGCAGAAAATTTTTTTATTAAAAAACATAATAGAGTTTAACTTGGGTTTTATTTATCTTTTCATGAAGTCAAACACTGACGATGTCTGGCCACTGATTTTTGGAGTAGTTCAATAAAAAGCTGGATTAAATATTATATTTGGGATATGAGAGAAATGTGGTTTATCTTCACATGAAATTCAAATCTTGTTTCCCTATACTCCGAGTAATTTGTAAACATGCGGTCAATTCATTTGTTGGCACATTTATTAAAGTTTAGTTCATGGTAGCCTTAAATTATATTTTGGGTTTTCACAGTTTGCAAGAGTACCTGGAACAACAACATCTATCTCAGTTTTGTGATGTGGAGGACAGGGAAGCTAGTGTAACTAAGTTCACTGAGGTTTTCTTCCCTGGTTTTAAAATAACCAAGGGCAAGAAATTACAAAAGACAATGGCATTGCTGAGACCAGACCTCCTGGAAAAGCAAGGTAAGAAATAAAGCATAAATGCTCAAAATACTTTGCAGATAGGATTAGAATGTTCATTTACTAACTTCATTGACTCATTTTTACGAACTTCTCATTGACACTTTTAATAAGCAGGTAGTAATGAATGAAGGATTTTTTTTGCAGTTAAAGGGTTCATGAAGCATTTTCTAACTTGTGACTCATGAGAGTCAATTTTACCATAGCAGGAATTACACCTTAGGAGAGACAGGAAGCTTTCATGTCTGAAATGCCTCCATTGAGAGTGCAGGTCCAGCCTAATTAACAGCATCACTGGAATAAGACATTTCACAGAGCCTATTTCTTCATCTGGAAAAGTCAGAGTTCAAAGGAGAAAGCGTAAATCAAGTGCCTGGTGCTTTGTTAGTTATTTTTAACCTCATCCCACATTCACAAGGCAGAGTGAATACTAAAGAGTAAGCACTGATTCTTTTCTTAAATTGTCCCTTTTCCTCTTTTTTTTTTTTTTAATACCTAGTACAGTATGTGGAAACACAAATGGTATTTGCATGTTGACTTTTTAGTCTCTGATTTGCTGAACTCAGTTCTGGAAACTTTGATATAGTTTCCTTGGGAATTTCTAGGTAAATGAGGATTTCTTATCCTTACATCTCTTCACCTTTTGGGCCAGGTCATTTTTTGGTGGGAGAGAAGCCCTGTCAGGTTCTCTGTAAAATATGCTCAGGAGTGTCCTCAGCATCCACTTGCTCCCTGCCGACCTCTGCCATGGACATTCTTTCCAACCCTGTTGTAAGAACCAAAAGTGCCTCCAGCCTCTGTCAAGTTTCCCTTGTGGGGCCAAATCTCTCCAGCTGAGAACCGTGGATGTAGACACTGCTTACAAGGGAGAAGCATTGCTCCTCTTCCTTCCATCCATTTATTTTATTTTATTTCCTTCGATATTTTATAACTTGATGTAAGAGGTTTGATGAACCTTCAGTAAAAAATTTAAGGAGTTATTTTTATAAACTTTTACATTTCATAAAGAAAAGAAATATATTATATGCCCTCATGATATTAGGCAATATCTATTTCTATATAATATATTTTTATATAATACTTATATATATGTTTATATATAGTTTATATATTTACATATAGGGTATGTATAAATATATACATAAATATATTTAAGATATATCTATAAGGTATTTATATAGAGAGGATATACAGGGAAAATATATATGAGATATATATATTTTATATACATCCAGTAACCTACTAGTTTAGAACTTACCATGTTGTATGATCATTTCTAATTTAAGATGATGTTTTGAATATTATTAAAGATGAAGGCTTTAAGATACTGATGGAAAGACAAATAGTATTATCAGAAGAACAAGCAAAAATGCTGTGTGAGGAATTTGAAAAAGAAAACTATTTTGAGAAGCTTATAGAAAATATGACCAGGTAAAGCAGAGCTCAGATTTACAAAGCATGGTGTCATTTATTTCTTAATCATTTAAAGCTTTCTCTTAACCCTGTATTTTACTCACCTTGGCATACCTCTAAATTCTACAAACAGGCTCTGAGTCTATTTCTCTGTCAATCCTTCCCCTGTCCTGGTTATCTGCACAACTTAGGTCTTCTCTGCAATTCCTGGAATGATATTGGAGTGATAGAAAGACATGCAAGAAGATGCGAGACTGTTGCTAGACAAAAGGAAGGGAACAAAGGGTGTAATAGTGGAGATGGATACGATCAATTTATGTCCTGTGTATTGAAACCCAATATTTTCTCAGCTTAATAGGTACTGATAATAAAAGGGAAAATGAAACAAAGATTAAATAATTGATGTAAATTACCTTGATCCAGAGTGCAAAGAAAAATTAGAATTATTTAAAATAATTATTTCTACTACTATTGTGCAGTATTTGAGATTGAACCCAGAATCTTTACACTGAACTACATCCCTAGCCCTTTCCTTTATTTTTATTTTGTGTGCCTATCCACTAAGTCACTTAATTGCTCTTGTTGGGCTCAAATTTGTGATCCTCCTGGCTCAGTTTCTCAGAGTGCTGGGATTCTAGGCATATGCCACTGCACTCAGATTTTATATTTTTAACGAAGTTTAAAAATTACACAACTTCACTGCTAACAAGGAAACAAAATCAACACATTGCTCCTCTTCAAATAAAAATATGGAAAAAACTCAAAGATCCCAGAGAAGTTGATGACACCTAGTTGAGTTGAACTTCAAAAATCCAAGGTGCACATCAAATCAACACAGGCCTGACTGACTCTGGGCAGTTTGATTTGATCAATTTGACTTTTAGTTAGGGCTTCAATTATCCTACAGAGCAGTAGGCCTAGGAAAGGAATGAGACACTTGAAATGTGTCAAGTTTCTACAACAACGACTAAAATAGCACCAGAAGCAGAAATCCAGTAAGAGCATATAAACCAAAAGGATCATGGGAATCAGGAAGGAATTGCTGGACAAGAGGCAAAGCCACTCTTTTTCTTCCCTTCCCTTCTTTGCTTCCAACTCCTTAGCAAAATGCTCTTGAAAGGCTTGCAAAGGAAACTAATGCTAGAATCCTGAAAGCATTACTTTGGCAGGTTTTCAGTCTATTTAACTGCATTATATTATTTATATCTTATTAGATACTAAACCATATTCTTAGTAACTGTTTTTTTTTTTTTCCTACCAGACATCCATCTCTTGCCCTTGTGTTACAAAGAGAGAATTGTGTGCAACACTGGAAAGAGTTACTGGGACCAAGCACTGTTGAGCAAATCAGTGAATATCATGCAGAGAGGTAGGATTTGTATCCAGGGTCTCAAGCTTTTATCAGGAGATCCATTTTAATTTCACTTTGGTGTGGGGTACCAGAAACACAGCTCTAGTCCAAGAAAACTTCTAGGAAATTGACTTTTCCTGGGGAAGTAGCAGACCATTTATGATGAAGTTTCCATCTAATAACAGTCTGAAGATAGACATGTTTTGCAAGAGAACTTTGGGGTTGGGATTCAGAATTTAAAGATGAATACTCAGCCAATAAGGCCTCCCTTTGGAAAAATATCCTCCTCATTTGCTATTTAAGAGAAATTCCTTTGAGAAAGGCTCTGATGACAGCTGAAGGCCTTCAGAGTTTCAAGACAATGATGATTAACTGAATCTGTCCTCTGCAATTTGACGGAACATCTACTTGGTTTGCTTATGAATCTGAGAAATCACCTAAACTTTGCTATCAGCTCAGCACCTGGCATAGTCCTGGCACAGAGGAGCACATTTCAATATTTTTTATATTAGCTACCAGTCTTGGTTTGGTAACATCTGGAAGGTAGAAAGAAGTGTCTCTTCCCTCTCCATAGTCAGCATGTAGATAAAGGAAACAAACAGAATTGTGATTCATTTACACTCCCTCCTTTTATACAATACAAGGGACTAAACACAGAGCTTTCATTCCCTTTCTCATCCCTTTTAAAATTTTTTGTTTTGAGATAGGGTCTTGCTAAGTTGCCCAGGCTGGGCTTGAACTTGTGATCCTCCTGCCTCAGCCTTCAAGAGGATGACTGATTTTAAAGTAAGATTCAATTCAGAGGAAAAAAGGACTTTCTTTACCATGTGTAAGAATAATAATACTCCATAAGGCATAGCAAATTTATCTTACATATTGGCACACTAAATAACAGTACATAGGAATCAGCATTTACATGAATGTTGAAGTGCTTTCTTTGGGGTGCTTGAATCTTACTTTTCCTATAAGGACATGTTTTACCCTTTATTCAGCCCTACTTACTTATATATTTGCTCCTTCCCAGACAATTACTCTAAACAATAATGTGAGGTGGACCATCTGCAAGAGCATCCATAGAACTGCTTTGTAAAATGTACTATACAATGATTCTTAGTCAGCTTTCCAAGTGCTGAACACAATACTCAACATTCACACCTTAAAGGAGGAAGGGTTCAACTTGGCTTGTGATCTCTTTAGATCTGCAAAACAGAGACATTATGGTGGAAGTGTGTGGTAGAGCAAAGCCACTTAGTTCATAGTGGTTGGAGAGCAGAGCAGGTAACAATAACTTGAGAGGGAGGAGCCAGTGTCCAGATATAGATCCCAAGATCACACTTCCATGATCTACTCAGATACATCCAGAGGGGTGCTTCACTGATCGCCTGGGCAGATCCTAAAGCCAGTCAAGTTGATACTTTGCCCTATGCACCATACCATGGCACTAAAAGAGGAATTCCTATCAAAACAAGGCCTGTGCCCATAAGCAAACTGTTCTAGACACATAGTGGAGGCTGTACATTGGTACAGAGCTATTTTCTCCACACGAGGACTCTCTGTGACTGCTTCTGTCTATCCCAATAGTAGAGGAAAAGTTCTATAAATCCTTGACCATCATTTTTGTGGGGGCTCCCTGTTTCCAGTTTTTCTGTCTTTATGTAGCTCTTTCAGGCTACTTTTAGGACTAACTCAACAGAGAGAAGTACCTCCAAAGAGAAGTGCAGGAATAGCCAAGGGTTGAAGGTTAAGGTCAAGCTAGAAACCTGAATGGGTCGCTGAAATCAGAGAAGCATGAAAGTCTAGAAAACCAAGATTCCAATAACATAAAAAGGACGCACATCATTCTGAGCAAGAAGGGATATTATTCAACACAGTTGAATTTTGGTTGGCTGACTGTTCAGATTGTATTATTTAAAGTGCAGAGCATGAAATGAACAGAGATTATCTCTTCTACTGAAGTATGCATTGCTGGATGGAGAGATAGATTTTTAAAAAAGATAACAGATGAAACACCCAGGAACATCAATTTATTTGTGAGATACATAATCTTCTATAGAGAAAGAAACAGATTAGTGTAAATTGCTCCAACACTGATGGTCTGATACAGTCAGCCACCTCTTCCTACAAAACTACCCGTGTACTGCTATTTTATTGCTATACCTCCTCTCCTGTTGGTTGCATTTAGTTCCTTCTACATTCGATGTTTATAATTTGTTATTTTTGGTGTAAAGCCAAATAAGATCTTATGCTTCATATGTGACACACTTCTCATTTATTCTGGAATAGCTCATGGATTGCAGTCCTACCCTTCACCTCAAAGTTTGTCAGTATATTTTTGCGAAGTAGTAGATAGTCATCGGAAACAAAAGTCAGCTTTTTATCTATAGCATTCTGTTTTTAAAGTGGTATTTCTATTTACAAAATAGAGTAATTGTGGATTTTTGCTCTGAGCTTTGAAATTTGCCACACACAATGTAAATGATTAAATAGATGATATACATTTCCTTTACATTAGGGTTGAGACAAGTTCCGCTTAGAAATAACATTGAAAACCAATCAAATTTGCTTCAGCCTCATTGAGTGAACCTTTGCATTTTATATAAAATTGAATGACTGCTAGCAGCTAAGGGAAGGGAAGCAATATTGAGAGCTCAGTATGTTCCATATATTTCAATTTATCTGACTGCACCCTCAAAAACCACCCTGCACACAGCTTTGAGAAAACTAATGAACAAAGAAGTTTGATCATTGCTCAATCAAGCATATCTGGCAAGTAGTAAGATCAGGTTCCATCGGTACTAGCTTTTCTTTTGCACCAATACCCATTCTCCCTTTCATGGTTATCCATCTATATCCATCATCATGGTGATGATCTACACGATTTTCATCCTCATGTCTGTCACCTCCTTTGGTATCATACCCTTACTTCCTTTTGCACATGACTAAGATCATTTACTGTGCTGTTGCCCAGTAATTTTTGAGCAACTTACATAAGTATTGTTACATTAGGCTGTGACATTGTCTTATCATAGTTTTTGAATTTAACTTTTTTTTCCAAGTTTATGCGCACAGTTTGCAGTGGGAAGTTTGCCTGTCAACCAGTTGTACGGAAGTGATTCAACAGCGGTTGCTGAAAGGGACATGCAGTGCTTCTTTCCTCCTGAGAACACTTTCGCACTAATTAAGCCACATGTGACCCATGAACAAAGAGGTAAATGTTTTAAAATAAAAGCTGATGTGCACATTTTTCTTCCAAATTTGGTGAAATTTTTTAAGTTACAGAAAAGTTAAAAAGAATCATACCAGGAATACTCTTATCCCTTCCTCTAGATTGAACAATTAACTTTGTTGTATTTACATGTGTATTAGTTACTTTTCTCGCGGTGGGACAAAATACCAACTTAAAGGTGGAGACTTAATTTAGCTCGTGGTTTCAATCTGTGGTTGGCTGGCTCCAAGGCAGAAAGGGTGGGACAGAGGAGCATGGTGGAGGAAAATGCTCACTCCATGGCAGCCAGGAAGCAGAGAGAGAAGGGAGGAGCCAGGGACAAGAATGCACTCTTCTGGGCCCTGTCCCCAGTAATGGCCTCCATCCAGGCCCTATTTCCCACACATTCAGCCACAAGCTCATCAGTGGGTCATTCCACAATCTCCTTTCTATACACACGAGACTTTTGGGGACATTTTAGATCTAAATCATAAGTCTCTCTGTCCTCTCTCTCAATAAAAAAATGACATTGCGCTGGAGGTTGCAGCTCAGTAGTAAAACATGTGTTTATCATGTGAAAAGTCCTGGATATTTAGCATCAAAAATATATATTTGTTGAAATCCATTTCAAAGTTGATGGAAATGTTTTCTCCCCATAAATAGATTCATATGGAAAAGTATTTTAATGATATTTCTAATATGGGGCCATCTTTTTATTTCTGTATAAACTGTAAACTCCACATAATCCTGTGTTTTTATTTGCTTCTATTTCATTTGGGACTTTTTTTTTTTTTTTCATTGAGACTAAAAAGTGAGGTTAGTTTGTATTTGTGTGTGTGAAAGTTTTAGCAAGTTTAGGTTACAGTGGAATATTTCCTGAAAACACTGAAATCTTTTCTGTGCTCTGGAAAGTCTGAGCAGCTCAGGGATGGAGATTTCAAGGTTTGGTGGGATTTTCCTGTGAAAACACCTCAGACTGTTGCTTTTCTGTGTGTTCTATAGAAATTGAACTATCTAAACTTTCTTTCTTGCTCAGTTAAGTTCTTTTCAAAATTGCTTTATTATTTTTCATTTTTTAATTACTACATGTTTGTAGTACATAAGGATTGCATTCATCCTGGGGAATCTGTACTTGTGCACAGCACATCTTAATTCTTTTTATTCCCTACTCTCCCTGCTCCTTCCAACTCTTCTTCCCCTCCCCATTTGCAAAAGCTCTATTTCTGCTTTTTTTCTTCAAATCTTTTTTATATCCCTCTTCCTTTGTTTCCCCCTGCTCCACCTCCATCTTTTGTTGCCCTTCCCATTTGAAAAAAAAAAAAAATCTCTTTGTTTTTTATTATCTTTTCCTTTGCTCTTTAGTTACACTTGGGTTTCTCGTTCTCTCAAGAGAATGTAATATTTAAACTTGTGTATCTGATTTATTTCACGTAACGTTATGGTCTCAAAGTGCCTCCATTTACCTAAAAATGCCTCAACACCTTCTTCATGGCAGAGTAGTATTCTACTGAATATAAATAACACATTTTTTTGTCCATTCATCTGTTGATAGACATATAGGTTGTTTCCACAGTCCTTAAACAAAGCACTAATATCTAGAATATATAAAGATCTCAAAAATATCAGACCTCCCCAAGTTTAAAGACCACATTCAAAAATGGGTATCTGAAATGGAAAGACATCATTTTACACAAAAAGTTTAAATGACCGATATATGTATGAAAAAATATTCAACATTGCTAATCACTATAAACTTAATTTCTTAAACTGCATTTTCCTAAACAATTACCCATCCTGCCTACATTAAATCTGGAATATAATCTTTTTTTATATTTCCTCTGGTTCAAAGGATACTCTTACCATTTCCTACTTTGTTGTCTTTCAAACAAGAGTTCATTTATTTGAGTTATATTTTATTCCATTTTCTAACATTGGTTTTGGTTTTGTCTTTATTATTTCCTGTTCTCTATTTTCTAGTAGGTTTTTTTTGTTATGTTCTAACTTTCTGAGTTAGACATTTATTTTAATGATATAAATTTATAAGGCTATATATTTTCTCTTTATATTTGTTTTAATTATTACCCCCTGGATTTAATGCACAATGTTTTCATTATCATTTTTTAGAAAATGTGAAATTTTAGTTTGTGTTCCCCTGGGGCCTTAGAGTGACTCAGTAGATCAATTAATTTTTTTTAAAAGAGGTATTTTCAAAACAAATTATTCCATTGGATAATAAATTCTTTTTATGAATATCTTTAGTTTATTGTGATTTGAATGCATTTGTATTATTTTTATTGAAATTATTATGGCTTTACTGAACTACCATATGATAAATATTTGTGAAGATCCTGTGTGTGTAAGAAGGGATATTATCTATTACATTGTGCAAATTTTGAATATAAGACATATCTTGCTATTTGTTTGATTTGTGGTTGACTCTCTTCTTTTATATTTTCCAATGTTGATTTTGTCTTGGATGTTGGTAAGGAGCTAGTCCCCTAATTCTAGTATGTTGATGAATATTTCCTCTGTACTCTCATTTAAAGTGGTAGCTGCTCAGTTATTGATACACATAACCATAATTAAAATTTATAGTGGATTTTGGTTTTAATCATTATACAGTGTCCTTTTTTGTCTCATATAATGCTTTAGAGTTCTCTGTTGGCTAATATTAATACTACGTGGACCACTTTCTTGTTATTGGAATTGTCTATTAGCTTTTTGCATATTTATCTATTTTTAGCCTGCAGAATTTCTTTGTTTAGGTATCTCACTTGTATTAGAATACAGTTAGATTTTTACTTATGATTCTTTCTGAAATATTTTAACAGGTGATATCAATAATTTACATTTATTGAAATAACATGCCTCATTTCAAACGCATTATTTTGTACTATACTCCTTTATGTGTTATTTTTATTTAGTCTTATTTTTCACATTGAGGTTCTTTACAATTTATTTTGTTCTTGCAAAGTTTGTTTGTTCTAGAAATTATTTTATATAAATATCTGCAGTATATTTTCTTACTTAAGCTTCCAGCATTTGTTTTTTTTTTATCTTTGTTATACTGATACCTCTGTAACAGTTATTGAACTTAACATATTTCTTCTTTCACTCCCTAGACTATCTCCTTTAAAAGTTGTGTTGAACCTACTTTCTTAGAACCCATGTTATTTATTTTCTGGATATAAAATCCTTGGCTCACATTTTTCCTTATGTTTCTTGACAATATAACACCATGCTTACTTTGTATTATACTGTCAAGAGTCTGATGTCATACTGATCTTTTTCCATTATAAAAGACAGGGTGTTTTGCCAAAAGTTCAGCACAATTTAAGAAAAAACATCTATCAAGTCTGTGAGTTTTACTAAAATGTCAGAACGTTGGCCAATTTTGGTTTATTTTTCCAGATACATATTAATCCCATTCAATGTCTACATTTATATTATTCCAGGATGGTTTTGTTGGCTTTTAGCTTTACACATTTGTTCTGTTCCACTGTTCTAGTTTTCATCTTCAGGGAGTTCCCTGGAAATACCAGGAGACTCTGTACTAACTCAGTGTGGTTCAAAACATTCTCTTCTTTTGGTATGATTGTTGCTGCAAAGGTGCTTGTTCAGCTGAGTCACCTGCAGAGGCTGGATGCAGAGACAAGCAAGTTTATTGGGTGCAGGAGGCATGCACCCAGTGCATGACTGAGAAACAACCTCAAAGGGCAGGAGGGGAGAATAGTTATACAGTTCTAGTTCCGGGTCTAGTTCTGGATCTGGGGGTTGGTGCTGCTATGATTTAGTGCAGTTACAGAAATACCACAAAGCATGGTCTTAGCTTGGGACAAAGGAGCAAAGGTGTATAACATTTTACAAGTAGTCTTATGACTACTAGGGGACAAGTAGTCTTATGACAGAACATGGGGTGGTATTGGGTTAGGTAACTATGACAACATTTACCTGTAACAAACTTAAGGAAACAGAAACTTAAGCTTTAAAATAGCACTAGAACACAAAATGGTGTTGGTTGAGCTTTCTTTCCCATATCATAATGAAGTCAAAATTTTAAAATAAATTATATCTAGTTATATCTCTATGCACAAGTATATATATATATATATATATATTCATTTTTGCGTAACTTGTATATCCATTATTTTTCTATGAGCAAATTCTCTTTCTTTATTTAGTGTTCCCTCCAGGCTAATTTTATTTCTATTTTCCATGTGCTTTAATATATTTTAAATCATATCCTTCTTTAGTCCCTCTTTAATTTAGTTTTGATTTCTGAGATGATTTTATCTTTTTCTTCAATTTCTTTCTTGATTACAGACAGTTTGTTTTTACATCTAGTTATTGCTTGACTAGATCTACTTCTGTGCTTGAAGTTCTGATTCATGATGTCTTTAGATACCATATGCTTCTCTCATGTTAATATTGAAAATTTCTTTTGGCTTGCCTTTTTTCAACTTGCCTAACTCACTCGCACTCCTATTTCCTCCCTCCCTCCCTCCCTCCCTTCCTCTTTTGTGAGAGAAGGAAATATGTTTAATCAGAAAAGTAATTTTACCTTTTAAAGGAGTTTGGTGAAGATTTAGGCTGCAGGGTAATGCATATCATTGAGTATATTAGATTTGTTATTAAGTACAATTTTATTAGATCTGTCTACATTCTTCAGATGACTCAGGAGAGGTTTATGGAGGTCTGCATCCTCATTCCATTTCTCAGTTCAGAATGTTCTCTTGGTGTTTTAAAAGTGAAGCCATTTCTGTAATAGGTAGGGCCTAACTGTAACTATTTCTTTAATGCTCTTTGTTTACCCCTGACATTAACCTCAGCCACTTGCTTCCTTTCTGTTCATCACCAAGCACTGCGAGTGCCTTTTCTTTTCTAACATGCATCCTTTTTCTGAGAACTGATTCCTCCCAAAGACTGGATTAGTCCCCAGATACCTTGCCTCTGATGGTTTCCAATTCCACATCCACACGCTGTTTTGTCCTTCACACTGCAAAGGAAAGGACCTTCCTAGGGGACGAACCTGAACTTAGTTCAGCTGAGAATGCTTTCACAGTGTTTTGCTGTCTTCCTTTGAACTTGGTGTTTGTCGCTCACTGTGCCTGCCAGGCCAGTCCCCTACTTTTCTGTGTGGTGATCACACTTTATTTTTTTCCATACTCAGCATCTCTAAAGAGAAACTCTTGCCACCCACCCTGGGAGTTTATTCATGATTTTTTATGGTAATGACCACCTTCTTATGATCCGTTTATAGGCTTGCCTCTCAGATCAGATGATTAATATCTAAGGAAGAGCTTCTCTGCTCTTCATATTGGTTTCCACAGTGCCTGTGTTAGGGTGAATTATTGGGCTAATTACCCTTAGTTATTGAGCATTGATCAGGCTCATAATCTCCCAAATGAGTAGATGGCAAAGGTTTAAACAAATGAGAAAATTGAAATGATTGTGGGGCTCCAGGAGGGTCCAACTCTCTTACAATATTTAAGATTCTCTGGGTTAAGACCCAGACTTCCCTGGGTGGCCATATGTATTAGGTTTTCAAACAAAGGAAGGGGACACTGAAGAAAAGGCAGGAATCTGGGCAGGACTTGAGAAACCCTTTACTGGAATTCTCTAAGTAATACTTATGTTAACTTAGGAGAACTAAGTTAACTTCAGGAAGGCCTTCACTGCAGGAGTGAAATGCCACCAGCTGCAGTCTCCCCTTATTTAATTGGGGTTGGAGCCAAATGTCCTCAGCTGTGGCCTTAACTTATCCTTTGAGGCATCCCAACTTCACAGGCCAATATAGGCCTCAGTGGGGACCACTGACTCATAGAGGTTCACTTACTATGAGTCTACTGCCCATCTCTGGACAAAGGGCTAAGCATCAGACAACTCCCAGGTAAACATGGAAAGCCAATTGGTTAAAATTAAATCCTGCTCAGAACTGCTGCATAGTGCTCTCCATCAGTGCATCCTGGCCACCTGCTTTCCAGGAGGTCAAGTCCAGCCTTCTCAGGTTGTCTGCTCTCCGTGGTCACTGCCACCTTTGGCTGCCAGCATAGCCCTTCTAGGAGTGCCTCTGGGAGCAAATAAGAGGTTTTCATTTTATTTTGTTTTTATCAGAAAGCTCCAAATTTCTCCATTTGCTGACCTTCATCTCCAGAACAGTCCTTAATATTTAGGCTGTTGATGAGATTTTTTTCCAAATTAGTATTTTATCAACATTATTAGTACATAGTCATGATGCATAATGAATGCATTCATCTGGGGACTTGGTACATATACATATTGCATCTTAGTCATTTTTACTTCCTCTTCCCCCACCATCCCTCCTCCTCTTCTCCCTCCATCTCTAGATTGCCTGCCCATTGGCAAAAGTCTACCTCCCCATTTCCTATCATCCTTCTTTTATGTTACTATTTGAGACTCAAATGGACTTCAATTTGGACAAGACTTACTTTACTTAACTCCCTCAGTGATACCCTGTTCTTCAAGGAGAACTCCGATTGACTCTCCCTTTCAGTACGTATCAAGGAAGAAATCCTCTGACAGTTGTACTGTGGAGGGGGAAATATGTCTTCATTCCTTGTGTGCTAGCTGATCTCTTCCTTTTGATAGCCTATGAGGTGTTCCTGGTGGTTTTTGGAAAGGTAGATTTAAGATTGAACGCTTTCATTAACGTCTTAAAGGTCTAAGCATCCATTTGGTGCTTTTAAAATTTAATTTAGTTTATTTAGCACAGTTTTTTTAACTACAGAATGAAAATGTAACTATGATTTTTCAATCTCCCTGAACATAAGCAAAGGAGGTGCAGTCTACAAGGTTACCACATTTCTGTCTTCCCTAGAGGAGATCCTGAAGCTCATCAAGGAGGAGGGGTTTGAACTCACTCAGGTGAAGGACATGCTCCTCACTCCTGAGCAAGTGGAGAAGATTTATATCCAAATAACAAAGAAAAACTTCTACAAAGATGTCTTAGAAGTACTATCTGAGTAAGTTCCTGATAATGTACCTTACAAAAGTACATCAATGTAGAAACTTGGAGAAATACAGATTTTAATTAAAAAACTTTCCATCTGATCACGTTCATGAAGACACCTTGTTAATGTTTGGTGTTTATTTACTTTCTCTTTCCTTCTTTCTCTCCTTATCTTCCTCTCTTTTCCCTTCTTCTCTCCCTCCCTTCTTTCCTTCCATCTTTGGTTCCATTAGATCTTTACATTAGCTATAGAGGCAACCAAAATTTAAATTCCTGCTTTGCTGATGTACTGAATCAGTTCCTCAGCTTCCTAATCCATCAAATAGGAGTGAAAAAGAATCTATCTCAAGTTGTGGGTGAGGCTAAGTGACTGATACAATGACAGCAGGTGGGACAGTGTGTGGCCTTTCTTAAGTGTTCAATAAATGTTAGCTGTCTTTATTCATATTTTTCCTTTTATATTTCTTCTTGTTAAACTTATAACAAATGTATAATAGATGTATGAAGTGTCATCAAAATATACAGTCAGTGTTTGGAATTTATTACAGTAAAAGACACTAGAGTACCCCTAAGAATCTCCCCCTCAATATAAATACAAATATTGCATTGTTCTTGCAATTTTCTGAAGCAGTTCTAGAAGTCCTCTTTTGTAAGTGTCTTTAGTTGCCCTGTTATGGTTGTCTTGATATCCTAAATTGACTAAAAACATTTACTTTCATGATCATTTTGACTTTGGGGAAGAGCCAGAAGTTGCATAGTGCCAAATATGGTGAATAAGGTAGATGAAGACACACTGTAACATTTTTATAAACCTGGCTCTTCATTGGACAGCACTAAGCAACAATGTTCACCATATTTTTTACCATACCTGTTAAAGACACTCATGAAAGAGGACAACCAGAACTGCTTCACAACCAGAATGATGGGCTATGCTGGAAACCAGGTGGAGTATTTTAAAGAAGACTACTGGCAATATGTCTTTTACCGTAATAACTTTTAACAATGTAAACACTTGCCATACATTTCAATTGCACCTTATGTATAGTTACATGAGTGTTATATACTGTGTTGGAACTTCTTTATTCCATGTACGGAGCTGTTCCTGGCCACATATATCTTTACAGGCATTGCAGAAGAATGGATGGCTAATATTTAATGAATATTTACTTAATTCCAAGTCTCCTGGTGACCTACTGACACTTTATCTCATCTGACCCTCATAACAACTCTCAGAAGCATATTTATTTAGAATTTCCACTTTGGCTATGGTCTTGGTTACTTTTCTCTCATTGCTGGGACAAAATACTTGATGCCCAAAATTTAGGAAGGAAAGGTTTATTTCGCTTACAGTCTGTGGAGGTTTCAGTCCATACTTGGTAGGTTACAAGGCAGAGTGGCACATGGCAGAGGGCTACAGCTCATAGTGGCAGAACACAGCCAAAGCAACAAGCACGCAAGGGAGGAATGGCCACAAGCAGCCTCTTCCTCTCCCTTACATAAGCAAACCATCCACCCCAGGGCGGGTGTAGCTCTCACACCCATAATCAATCAAACTCTAAAAGCCTGCCCCATGACCGCATGAGGCTTTGTGGGGACATACAGACACAAACCATAACAGCTATATAAACAGAGGCTCAGGACTGAAACTGTCCATAGTCACAAAGCCAGTGTCTGGCAGGACCTTCCTTGAACCCAGACAGGCTATGTTCTTGACTGCTGCTCCATAGAACTTACTTTTTCATGGAAGTCATAATTACTTGAAAACAACTTTATCACTTTAATTTGAGTTTTAAAAAAAGTTTGACACACATACACATTCATGTGTTAAGAAACCTCCTTAAATAAAATACCTTTCCTTGATAGACCTTGACCACTAGCCAGTGAGTGAGTCAGGAAAGGTAATATTATAGATTTTAAACAAAATATCACCCAGCATAAAAGTAGTAACTAGATATTAGATACAAATAATACATAGAATTTCAGGGACTTTGAGTAACTGCCTTGATGGCTTGGAAAACAAAATCAACCTTCCAATCTTTTGTAGGCTACATTCTCTGGGTAACAGATGCTGGTTAAAGTTCATTTATTAAGAGCACTGTGCAGAGCAGAGGAGAAAGAATCAGGTTGGGGAAAAGGGAGAAGTCCAGGGGCAGCAAAGGCCTGACAGCTCCTGCTGACCTTGCTCGATGGGTCCATGTGGCTGTGCTGTGATAGGCTGAGATATCCAGGCCTTTGCATTATGACATTGGCCATCTCTGGAAACAGTCTATCTAGGGATAAGGATGGCCCAAGTAAGGTGACTTCCTTTCCTAAGGGTAATCCTTGAAGAGGCGAGGTGGCACAGAGTCACCACAAAATCATAAGTTCTGGGTCCATGACAATGTCCATGTGGCCTCCAAAGTAGCAAAAATAATGAAACAATTGACAAATACTTTCTAGAATTAATCTATAGCATCGGCCTAGCACAAAACCCTGTTGGGAGAAGGAAAAATGGCCCTGAAAAACACAAAATTGCACGGGTTAGGAGAAAGGGTAAAGAGGAGCTCCTGGGATGGGCCTGTGGCATTCTATCACCATGTATGCAGTCTGAACCATTGCAAATAGTCCACATCTTCTCAAAGCATTGTCATTTGCAGGGGTCCATCTTTGGTCATGGTTCTGAGCAAGTGGAATGCCATTGCAGACTGGAGACGATTGATGGGCCCAGTAGACCCAGAAGAAGCAAAACTACTGTCCCCAGACTCCATCCGGGCCCAGTTTGGAATAAGCATCTTGAAAAATGCTGTCCATGGATCAACTAATCCCTATTCGGTAACAGAGAGCATCAATGAATTATTTGGAGAAGATGTGGAGGAGCAGTAAGGTATGTACTATGAAGTATACACTATGTTCATTAGTGTTTTCTTTGATTGCTGCAGAGATTGAGTCTAGAGCAAGCCTGTCCTGGAAAGATGCAAACCTTTCCCTTATTTATGAATCAAACTTTATTTCCTACTAGACACATCATGCTGTTTTATAGCAGCCTCAAAGCCAAGCCTTATAATCTCAGTGGTGTGGAGGTCCTAGGTGCCTGGTGCAAGGCAGAGCAGCTGTGGCCAGCCTGTAGAGATAGGGAAAGTAGAGTACATGAGAAACCCTGAGTTTGCAAACCTAGGCCTCAAGCTGGTAGTGTCATCTATCCTGTTGATCAGCTCCTGTTGTGTGGCCTGTTGTTTAACAGGCTACAGACTAGTACCAGTCTGCGGTCTGGGGTCTGAGGACACTTGATTTAGGATGTAATTTATGCGGCTATTAAAAATGAATCAAAATATTATATGTACAAAGTAAGTTCTAAGAATGTATAACTTTTTCTATAGGTATGACTCAACTTTAGACAAAGGTATGAGCACACAACCCTTGAAAGTGCAAGTTCATAAAATATATGTTGCATAGCTAGCTGGCTTGAACTGTGGATTCTTGGTTAATATGAAACTGGGTGAATGAAGGTGGTTACCTCCAGGAGAAAGCAGACCGAATGTGATGGCAAGGGCAGAATGATTGGCAAATTGAGCACTCTCAGTAGAGCTACATCTTGTTTATAACTTCCGTTAGCAGTGAGTCTCCTAATACCTGTGTATCTCTTCTCCTTGTGGCAGAAGGAGCACTATGACTTACTTATTTAGGGGATTTCCAAGTAATATATAATTCAGGGCTGAACTGACAGGTGTATATGTGATGAGTAGGAGCTGGAGAAGATAAGGAATGGAATAGACCATGGATAAGATTTTTAAAACCCAAGGCAAGCTGAGTGTAGTGGCACATGCCTATAATCTCAGAACTGGAGGCTGGAGACAGGAGGATCACCACGAATTTGAGGCCCACCTCAACCACATAGCAGGACCCTGTCTCAAAAAACCAAAATCAGTCCATCAGAGACAAGAAAATGAATTCAGTTTGTAAAGTTTCTAAACAATCATCTGTGTCTATACCTTAGTGCTAAAGATTTGCTTAAAGATGCTTTGCTTGTTTCTGTCTTACCATGTGCACTCTACTGTATTATGTTGCTCTGAGACATGGTGCTGGATCTGTTTGAAACACTGAAAAGTCATTTGTGGAGATCTTGGTAGATGGGGGATAGTTACAGGATGGGTTTTCATAGCCCTTGTGCTAAAGCAACTTACAAATCTAAGAGCAGAAGATGGAGAACGAACATGTGTTCTAAGGTTAGGGTAGTTAGCTTGACTGCTCTGGGTAGAGGCATGGAGGCCGTGGAGGAGGAATGGGATATAAACCTTTAAGGCAGGAGGCATGGTGATAATCAGAAGCCTAAGGTAACATAGAAACAGTGAGTATAGGTTGGGTGGGAGGATAAAATGAGTCTTAACAGGCTGCATTGTCTCAGGAGGACTTGATAATTGACTATGATTTACTACTAACTACCCTACCAAAGAAGTGGGACCAGATAAAGCCTACTGTTTTGAGCAACTGAAAAAATAATGCAACTGTTCCCATATGGAGGATTCAGGAGAGAGAAGGTGATGCCATGGGTGTTTTATTTTGGTCTGTTTGGGTAGGGGATATTGGAATTGGAAGTCATTCAGTCTCCTGGATCAGCAGACCAAGAAGGCTCCACTATGGCAATGTCATTACAGCAGTGAGGCAGGCAGCTGCATGCACCCCTCCATCCACAGAAACGTAGAAGAAATAGCCAGAAACTGTCAGAAAGTTTTTTTCCAGAAATTTGGAAGTAATCAAAAATTTACATAAATAAAGGAATGCTCAATCAAAACAGATCAACTTAAAATGTCATGATGGCTTGATAACATTTTTACTTGATCTTGTCTCACCATTTTTCCAACTGGTGACAGTCTCAAAGGTGGCAGCGAGCACCCCCAGTGTGAGACCCTGGTGTGAAAGAGAGTGAGAGCAGATCTTGCAGGTTCTTGTGTGTGTCTGTGCTGGCCTTTCTGCAGGCTCCCCTGGAATGAAGTTCTCTTGCCTGCTCTAGTTGGGAGAGTGCTCAGGTGAGAAAGCAATGGGCTGTGGTAGACAACATTTTTAAGCAACTGAAACCTCCCCAAGTTCCTGGGACCAGAGATTATGGCTGGGACATATGATAGATGACCTGAAATCAGACAAGAAAAACTAGATAGAGACAGAGACAGGGAGCGAGAGAGACAGAGAGAGATTAAAAGACAGAGATTGAGAGAAAGAGGTTGAGAGAGATAAAGAGAGGTTGAGAGAGAGAGAAAGAGAGAGAGAGAGAAAGAGAGAGAGAAAGAAAGAGAGAGAGAGAAAGAGAGATTGATATTCTTTGGGAAATTAGGGCATTCAAAACTGCTGCTACACTTTGAGGAATTTAAAAAATCGTACAAATGCCTGCAACAAGATGTATGCTCTGAAAAGATCCTAAGTTTTCACCACTTGCTGATCTATAGACTCAGTATAAGCAGGAAAAAAAGAAATAAAGAATTAGAATTGTCAGTGCCTGACTAAATATTAAGTAAGTGTTCTACCACACAATCTGCAAACACTAGGGGAGGAACTTTGTTATTATTTTTGCAGCTAGCTTTTAAGAAATTGTGTAAAAATTAAATCTTCATCAATCAAGAAGCACAAACTCTGAAGAAGGAAATACAGTTTTAAAACTTAAATTATTATTGAAACTAGATTGCTATAAAGTTAAGAATGTTATCATAATTCCCATGGTAACCATTAGGAAAATAACTAAAACAATCACTAAAAATTTACAAAAAGAAGAGACTCAAAAGGTTGCATTACAAAGAAAAATGAACTGACTACAAAATGAGGTAATAAGAGAATAATGGAAGGAAAAAAGACATAGGACACACAGAAAAAAGCAGTAAGTTCTTCTTACTCACCAATTACTTTAAATATAAATGCAGTAAATTCTCAGAGACAGAGATTGGAAAAATGGATTAAAACACACAATCCATCTACATGCTGCTACAAAAAACCTTTAGAGCCAAAGACAGAGGCTGAAAGTAAAAAGGTAGAAATGTATATTCATACAAATAGTAATCAAGAGATATGGAGTGTTTATATTATTATTGTAGAGATCTATTTTAAATCAAGAAACTTACAAAAGGTATAAAGGACATTAAGTATTGAAAAAAGATTTACTCCATCAATACAGCAATTATAAACAAGAATGTACATAAAAATGGAAAACTAGATAGTACTACAATGATGATTGGAAACTTTAATACTCCTCTTTCAACAATGGATACAATAACAAGCCCAAATGTCAGTAAGTAAATGGAGAAAATGAACAATAGTGTATGTACCAATTTGAGCTCACAGGCATATGGATTGCTCAGCCCTTCCAAGACAGAGCATGCATTCTTCTCAATGGCACATTCTACATTCTCTAAATTAGACTTTCAGACCACAGAATTCTTAACAAATGTTTTAAATATTTAAATTGCATGAAGCATCTTTTCCAATTACTATAGAATTAAGCTCAAAATCAATAACAGAAGGACACTGGAAATCTCACAAGCTTCTTGTGGTGATTGATTGATTATGTCAACTTGAGAAGTTTAGAAGCATATCTAAACTTGGTTCAGCAATTGGCCCAGCAATTCTACACCTTAGGGTGTAGAGGAACCACCCTAGGGTGGATCATCACCTAGATAATATAAAAGGGAAATGAAGAAGGACAGCGGTACTTCAATTCCTTTTGGAGGAGCTCCAGTCTTCACCTTAAGCTTGGACTTCATCTCCTGGCTTCTAGTGCAGACTCTTCAACTTCCGCCTTGGATCCTTCAGCCTTCCGTCGCAAACTCATCGGCCTCCTGGTACAGACTTGCATGAAACACTGCAGTGAACTCCAGACCCTGGACTGATTCCTTCGGTCTTCAGTGTGCAGACACCCTCTGCACACTTCCCCATACAACTCTCTGGCTGACCGTCGTAAGTCAATCTTGTAATTTCTTATAATTTTTACATCCTGTGTTATATCTGTTTCTCTGGTAAAACCCTGACTGATACACTTCTGGACATTAAGCAATTTACTTTTACAACCAATGGGTTGAAGGAGAAATCACATATACACATACACACATGCATACACACACACACACAATTAGAAAATACCCAGAGGCAAAAGAAAGAGAAAACAAACATGCTAAAACATTATAGGATGTAGTGCTGAGAAAAAAATTTAGAACTGTAATTGCATTATAAAGGAAAATCCCAAATCAATAATCTTAAGTTACATCTTAAAAAATGATCAAAAGGGAACAAACTCAACTCAGATTTAGTAGGAAAAAGGGAAGTAAAGATTAAAATGGATATCAATGAAGTAGAAAATAGAAAAATGTCAGTGAATCCAAAATACAGTTCTTTGCAAAGATCAATGAACTTTTAATGCCTTTAGCTAGATCATCCATCCCCACACTTCCTAGCACCAGGAACTGGCCTCTTGGTAGACAATTTTTCCACAGACTGGATGGGGTGAGGGTAGTTTCTAGGTGATTTAAAGGAGCTCTTAACCCAGATCCCTTACTTGCACAGTTCAGGATAAGGATCTTGCTTTTATGGTAATCTTATTTCTGTACTGATCTGACAGAGGCAGAACTCAGGCAGTGATGCCAATGTTGGGGAGAGGCTGTAAGTAAAGATGAAGTTATTTACTCACTCACTGCTCACCTCTTTCTGTGCTTTGGCCCAGTTCCTAACAGGCCATGGACAGATGACTATCTATGATCCAGAGGTGGGGGACCCCTGAGCTGGCTTGATGAAAGAAAAAACAAGAGGATGTGAGTTATTGAAACCAGAAGTGAAAAAAAAAAGACATTACCGCCCACTGTACAGAAATGAAAAGAATTACAAAAGAATACTGTGAGCAAAGTGTGTCAACCAACTAGGAAAGCTAGAGGAAATATCCAAACTTCTAGGAAGCCATAAACTACCAAAATTGACTCATGAAGAAATAGAAAATCTATAATGAAATTAAATCAGTAATGAAAAACCTAACAAAATAAATGGGCAGATGTCTTCATCGGTGGATACCACTATACATTAAAATGAGAAATACTGTTAATTGTCAAGCTTTCCAAGAAAAAAATCAAAGAGAAAGGAACAACTCCTAACTCAACCATGAGGCATCATTATTCTAATACTAACGCCAGAGAAAGGAAACTACAAGAAATCTCTAGAACAGCATACCTTATGAATAATGATACCCCAGTGCTCAAGAAAATACCAGCAAACTGAACTCAACAGTATGTCAAGAGGATTATACACCATGCACAAGTGATATTTATGCTGGGAGTACAAAGGTGCTAAAATGTGCTAATCAGTCAATGCAATGCAGCATTAATAGAAGGATTAATAGAAGGAAGGAGAAAAATACATCATCTCAAGTAATGCAGAAAAGAGCATTGGGCAAAATTCAGCACACTTCCATGACAGACAACGTTCAGTAAAACTAGAACTAGAGATGCTTCAATGTGAGGAATGTTATGTTTGAAATCCTGCAGCTAACAATCTGTTCAGTGATGGGAGACTGAAAGCTCTTTCTCTAAGATCAAAAAGACTCTGAGATCCTTGCCTTTGTCAATTCTACCTGGCAAAGTATTGGAAGTTCTAACCAGGGTAATTAGACAGCTACAGAAATAAAAGCATAGGGCTTAGAGAGGAAAAGTAAAAATCTCTTTATTAGCAGATGATATGATTTTATGTATAGAAAACACTGGAAATACACACATACACACACACACGCACACAAATTAGTTAAGAGCTAATTCAGCAAAGTTTCAATATGTACAAGCAACATGTAAAAGTCACTTATGCTCCTATGTAGTAGCAATGAAATACTTGCAAAAGGAAATTAGAAAAATAATTCCACATGCTACAGCATCAAAAAGTGACAAATTTAGGAATACATTAGACCAAGAGGACACAAAATGTGTACACTCAAAAATATAAAATAATTCTGACAGAAACATAAATCAGACATAAATAAATGGAAAGAAATCCTGTGTTCATGGATTGGGAAACCTAGTATTTTTAGGATGACAATACTACCTAAGCAGTGCACAGATTTAAAGCAATTCTTAATAAAATCCCCATGACATGTTTTTTTTTTTTTGCAGAAATGCAAAACAACTAGGCTAAAATTTACATGAAGTGCTCAGACACTCAGAAGAGCCAAGAGATTTTTTGAAAGAGAAGAACAAAGTTGGAATGTTCCCACTCCCTCATTTCAGAACTTACTACCAAGCTATGGTCATCAAAACAGCATGATAGTGGCTCAAAGATAGACACGAACAACAGAATAGAATTGAGAGCACACAAACAAACCTTCACATCCATGACCATTTGATACTAGACCAGTGTGCAAAACAGTAAGAACAAAGTAGTCTTTTCAATAAATAAAGCAGCAAGACTAGATATCCACTTTTAAAATAATGAAGTCAGACCCCCACACTGTACACAAAAATTAACTCACCATGGATAAAAATTGTACTTTTAAGAGGCAAAAGTGCAAAACCCTTAGAAGAAAACATAAGAGAAAATCTGCAGGATGTTGCATTAAATGTTAGTTTCTTACCTACAACAATGATGACAAAGTCAACAAATTAAAAAGTAGATAAATTGGATTCATTGAAATTAAGATCTTTGTGCATCAAAATAAGTTCTCAAGAGAGTAAAAAAAAAGGCAATTTACAATGGGGGAAATTATTTGCAAGTCATATACCTGAATAGTATAATATCAAAACAGCGACACAAAGTAGGTTATGCATTACTGTCTAGAGAGGAGGGGAAGGAGGAGGAGTTGGAAATTTCTGCTTCGTGAGAACAGTATTTCTGTTTTGGGGTGATGACAACTTTGGGAAACAAATCATGGTGATAATTGCAAACAATGTGAATATAATTAATACAATTTATTTGTATACTTAAGTTGTTATAATATAAAACATATATATATATATAAAACATATATATATATATGTGTGTGTGTGTGTGTGTAAAGGATCAAGTTAAACAAGAAAAATGGTCCCCTAGGAAGCAAAAAATCCTTTGCAACAGACCTTTCTAAAGCAACTCCTCAAATTACAGAAAGTTAGTTTTGTCTTATGACATATTTAAAGGAAAAGGAATATAATACTGACATCAAAACCCTTAGAAGTAAGTCTTTAATAAAGCTCTTGAAGAGACAGCAAATCAAAGAAATATTTCTTTAAACAGTGCAACAGCCACAATAGCAATACATCCCTAAAATTCTTTCCTGGGTATCTCTGCTCCCAAGACCCACTGCAGCCTTGAGCTGGAGCTGCATCCCACCCCAGCCTCTCCACGTGTCCCACAGAGATCTGCACTGTCAGTCCTGCTGTCCTTGTCAGCTCCTTCCAGTTCTCTTCCTTATGTTTGGCTTAAGCGGCAGTTGTGAGTGCTTGAATGGCTCGGGTAAGATGCTGTGCTTACTCACAAGTTTACTGTGGGTTGTGCACTTTTTGAATGAGGATTCTACAAGTGAGGCCAATGGCCCAGCTCCTTCCGCAAGTCGGGGATCTGTGTTCACACCTGGCACATACCAACTCTCACCAGCTTCAGAACTAGCACAGAGTGCTGCCATTGATTTCCTTGTGTATCCTTTTCCTAGAACATTGAAAAGACAATACGTGAAGTCCCTGCAGCATAAAATCACGTGGCACAGCTTCCAGGGGGGAAGAATAAGAAAGACTTTCTTTGGAGGAAAACACCTTTCAAGATCAGAAAAGCGGACAATGAAGCGCGATAACAATAAAAACTGTGAGCCACAAACGTGATGATTATTTGTACCCTGTCTTTGAGAAAGGACTTAACAGGGCTTATATAAATGCACAGAAAAAACTACAAGAAAATAATCCGGGAGAAACATGGCATGGAGGGGGAAGAATTCATCAAGTGGAGTTATAGGCAAAATGCACACCAAAACGTCCGGATATATATTTGATTCTAAGCTTTTAAGCAGAATGCTCTGACAGAGCTATGTAGTTTGCAGTCTCACTACACAACAGCATATGCCAGTGGTGGTGAGCCTGTGGCATGCATCCCGCAGCAGGCATGCAGAACCCTCCCTGTCAGCACATGAGCCAAGTTGCCCTAGCATTGCCCTAGCATCCAAGCATCTGTTTTATTGTAGTGTTGGCACTTTGAGATAAAGAAATGAGTTTTGGGTTGCAGTTTGGGCACTCAGTCTCTAAAAGATTTGCCATTGCTGCTGTAGGGCATATTCCTGATGGTAAAATGATGAAAGTATCTCTTGCATTAGGAGATGGTGGTAAGCTCAAGTTTTCATTGTGTTGACCCCCTGTCCAGGTATAATTTGAGTAATATTTCTTGCAGTAACATGCTCTTCAACTTGTAGTCAAGGTGTTGTGTGAAGTCCAGCATGTCAGCTATGCCATCGCATTCAAGAGAACACATTAGGGTGGTGAGTGAGTGTGAGAGATGTTGTGCAATTAATATCCCATTCTATGTCCTAAACTCTAATATTGATAAAAATTAAGAAATGGAATGGTGCCACACACCTGTAATAACAGCACTCTGAGAGGATGGGATAGGGGGATCCAAAATTTGATTTCAGCCTGGGCAACTCAAAGATTTAGTGAGGTACTATTTCAAAAAAAGTGACTGGTAATGTAGCTCATTGAAATGGTCCTCGATTCAATACCCAGTACTATATATATATATATATATAAAAAGTGACTGGTAATGTAGCTCATTGAAATGGTCCTCGATTCAATCCCCAGTACTAATATATATATATATGAGAGAGCGTTTCTCAAATTATGAACATCTAGTATTAGTAAGAAATTACCTTGAAATTAGAGTGTCCCAACATTATTTGAGATATTTAAGAACCACACCTGTGGACACTATTAAGTTGCATAAACTTTGATTTCATACAAATTATCAGAATGTTGCTCAATCTTTTTGCAAAATAGATATTTTTTAAAAGTGTAGCAGTCATTGACTTTTTTTGTGTTATGAAGAGAAAATGTAGTAGAATCTTCACCTTCTGTGCGTCCTATACCATTCCCATTACTCCAGATTGAGAGCTATTTTCTGCTGCTTTGCAGGCCTGGATTGCATCTGGTGGTTTCTTATAGAATGGTGTTCTGTGGCATCCATCAGTACCTGTTACTTAAAAGTAATATAATATTTGACCAGCAGATGGCAGGCTACACTCAATTTTGTATACCGTGGCTACAGTTGTGCAAATAATTTATATGAAAGTTATAGAGAAAGGCAATTTGGATTCAGGCAAATAGCCATGAACCTAAAAACTCAAACAGACATAAGAAGCATTTACCATTGCGTCCCAGGAGGCAATTCACCTTTAAGTTGTAATAGACTGGTTCCTGGACAGGTAGAATTCAGCGGGTGGAACACAGAAGCATGAGGCAGGTATACGGGGTTGGGGTTGGCAGGGTTTAAAGTATGTTGCTGCCCCTTGAGGAGAAAGGTTAAAAAAAGGCCTGGCAGATTCTCAGCCTCAGCTGAGTGAGCTGGTCTTGAGTTTCAGCTAAACTTAGGCAGAAAGGCAGCAATTCTGAGTCTTCACGGTGGGGTCAGGGGAGGGCTGAACAATACGCAGGAAAAGCCTGGAGCAGTGGGCTTGCATTTGCTGACACGAGGAGGTCCACATGGTGAGGGGGATGTGGGTATGGATACAGGACAGGCTACAGTGGGCAATGGGGTACTGGGCAGGAAGCACTTCTGTCCCAACAGCTAGACAGAGCTGGAGAGGAGGTCTGCAGCTCTGTGAACTTCCCATGCGGAATGATACCCACCCCTTATAATGACACAGTCATGCACCTTTACCCTTTGCCTTTGGCAGACCTTTGCCGTGAAGGCACAGTCTCTGATGGCCCAGCGTTAGTCAGCTTTCTGTCCCTGTAAGAAAATACCTGAGAGAATTAACTTAAAAGAGAAAAGTCTGATTTTGTTCTAGGGTTTCTGAGGGTGCAGTCTGTGGTTGGTTGGTCCTATTGCTTTTGGACTTGTGATGGGTCAGAACATTTTCATGGGTTCTGAGACAGCTCACCTCACAGTGACATACGAACAAAAAAGTAGAAAAAGAGGCATTGGAGTCCTGATATCCTTTTCTAGATGCATTCCTCAATGACCTAACTTCATCCCAGCAGGTCCCAATAGCACCATGGATTGGGGCCAAGTCATTGACATGGATCATTGGGGGACATTTAAGATCCAAGCAACAGCAGTCCCTCCAAATCCCTGTCAAGCCTTGATTGGAGTGAAGTACTCTTTAGCATCCTTTCTTCCTGTGCACAAATATCTCCTCTAAGCAGATAGCCTGCAAAAAATGGATGGATTTTGCAAACCATGCTGTCCTTTATTTTATGGCCTGAAAGATAGACTTTCTTAGTGACTTTTCTGCTCACAGAGTGGATCTCCTGACACTGTTGCAGGCCTGAACCGTGTCTGAACTTGATCACTTGTTGGAAGCTATTCTGGATGACCTCCAAACCAGATTTTTATGCTTTCAGTAAAAGGAGAAAGTTGACTCAGCAGTTGTACATATGATTTTCAGCTGTTGAAGAACTTCAGTGACATTTGAAATTACCTGAAGACTAAAGTGTTAAGGAATTATAAAATTCCAGCAGTTTGATTCAGTAATAGTATTTTAGATTTCCCCTGGTCCCATGATAGAATTTTATTCATAGTATCTTTTCCATTTTTGCTTTACCTCAAGTTCTTTATACTGTATTATGTTATTCAAGTTCTTAAAATTTTGATTTAGTAACAGTTCTCAAGCTAAATTTAATTGCTAATGTCATATGTTCTTTTCCTCTTTCAAAGTTTTCCGTTTAAGTGACCCAAATGACCACTCTAAAAATATACTAAACTTATGTTTGTGCTATTTGAACCCATACAGGCAATAAAGTACCCTCAGCATGGGCTTTGTTACTGCCAGAAAGTACCTCCCAAAGTCCTTATATTCTAGTAAAATGAGTGTCTTGTAGGTAGAAAAACAAATAAACCCTGTATTATCTATAGCTGTGATAAGTAATTTTTTTCTCTCTTCCGTAAATTTGAAATAGAAAAAAAAAAACAAAGACACGTGAAGATATAAAAGTCTTTAAGCTTTTGGGGATTCACGTAGTGTATTAATGCCAATTATAAACACTGACAGACTTTATAGACTGTGCTGGAAATATCAAGGTAAATTTTTAATTTTTTTATGATTGTCAGATGGTAATAGTCATGAGAATTTAAACTGCCAAGCCCAGGGGCCATAACTGACAAGGGTTCCAGCTGCTGCACCCTGAAGTCTGTTGCTACTTTTTTATGGAGGTCACAGTACCAGGTTGCCCCGATTCAGTGGCAGCACAAGAAAACCCATAGGGAGAACTGTCCCTGAGAGAGGGGTCACTTTGGCTTCGTGGGTGACTTTGGCTGAAGCCTCCGCAGTAGCTTTGCCAGATAGCCCCCCTTGGATATTCTGTGCAATTTGGAATGTTCCTAACCAATCTCATCTTTTCCATCTGTCGCCTTCACTCTGGGTGGACCTGCACCACGCTGTGATGGCTCTCCTGGACTACCCAGTGCCTCTGTCCTATCAAAAGTTTTCCTTCTAATAGATTCCTTGCACGTTGAATTCTATTTGGCCACCTGCTTCTCGAGGACCCAGACTAGCATACTCACCATTGTTGAAATAATTTTCAAATTTTCATGTCTGTATGGCTTCAAACAATTGTACCTTCTACATTGCTCTCCAATAACTCTTTAGTGATACCTTGTAATGACAAAAGTATCACACGTTTATTAAACAACATGCATACCGTATTAGAAGTCTTTTTGGTCAGACAATGTGGGTAGCCTTGAAATGTGCTTTCTTGGATTGCATCTGGTCATCAACAACACAGTAGTAACATATTAGTGCAGGTATGGATAACAGTTGATTTACAGCAAACCCATATAACTAGGTTGTATATTACAGGCAACCTGACACCACTCTTGTGAGTGGTCAGGGGCAGGATTAACTATTCTAGTTGTGGGTCTGATGGCTCATTAAGTATTGTCATATAGGCCAAGACGAACTAGGAATGTGAAGACTTGAACCTGAATTAGGGCTATGGCAAACTCATAAACAGTGATTAAGACAAAAATGAGAAAAATAATTAAGACTGCTGGAAGGTTAATGGGATGAAGAAAAACCGTTTGTGCTTGTTACACCTCTGCGTCCGTTCTTTCTTTTTTTCTCTTTCTGGTTTTGAGATTTTGAAGACGGTGGAAAATGATTTGTGTCGCAAAAATCTGTCCTACCCACTCATGCCTTAAGAAACACACTGAAAGTCACTAGAAGTCACACAAGTCATTAGAAAAATAAACTGTAACATTCATGCTATGGAATGGTGTAAAACAAATATGAAGTCAAATTTCTTTATATGGAAAGATTTTGATGCTGCATTATCAAATTCATTCCCCAACGGAGGGAAGAAGTCTGTAAAGATTCACACCACAGCATTAAGCTTGACATGTGAAATAACTTTGATATTTTGGGTATTGTTTCATCTTTCTTTTTTTTTGGTCAGTTACTTCAATAATGAAAAGGAGGGCTACTTCATTGCCATCCTGGGATCAGACATCTCCTTTGGGGTGTTGATATTAAAGTAGAAAATCTATCCCAGGTACTCCACTGATCAGTGGAATGTGGCCTGATTCTTTATCAGTTAAGAGACAAAGCCAGGAATTAACATTTTGGTGGGTGTGCTCATCAAGTAATGTAATAAGTCTTTCAGAGTGTAATGCTTCTCAAAAGTATTTCCCCTTTAGGATATATGGTCAGTGTTAGCATATACCAGACTATAATCAGAAGCATTTCTAGCGTGACAAATGAGCATTCCCTTTCAATACCCAGATTTGCGTTGCAAAATCATCAGCACATGATGGCCTCATGAATTTAAACTTAGTTAACTCTGGGGTGCAGCTCTTTCTCATTCAGTGTGTGAGACATCAGACAAGTCCTCATGCAACCTTGCTCCAGTGAAGTAGACTGTGACTTGCAAGGTCTTCTTCAGTGTTCATTTCATCATCCCAAGCAATCTTACCTTTTGCACAGATGACAGCAGCAGCGGGAGACACGTGGCCACAGTGTGCCTTTTTTAACTTAGGAACTTGTTCCCCCAAACAGTAGCACCCTTGAGCTGGTACAGGATAAGGGGTTTGTTGTGAGAATGCAACAGAAAAGTATAGGCATTCCAGCACAGAAATCAAAAGTGTGGTTAGATCAGAAAGTGTGGTTTTGAACTGCAAAGTAAGAACTAATCCTGATAATATAAATTTTCATGTATATTAAGAGAGGATTTGCACAGACGGAAGTCTGTTGATTTCTTGATACACTCTGATTCTCTAGTTAACCATTTATATTACTATATTTGATCCTTTAGAAAACTGAGGAGATAGCATAGGATTTTCCTACTAATCAAGAAGTCTATCTATATACTATCTATCTATCCATCCATCTCTATCATCTATATATCTAGCTCTGTCTATTACTTACCTATCTACCTACCTACCTAGCTATCAGTCCATCCGTTTAGCTATAGATGATATTCCCTCAAGTTTTCAATTATGCAGCTGCCTAGGGGTTGAAAGAATAATGTTGTAGCTGGTGGCTTACCAATGAAAGGAATAAATTCACCAAAGCGAGACTCTTGTGCCAAGGTCACATTTATAAATTTATGGAGAAGAGGGGTTTGAACAGTCAGCACTTTGCCAGTTCAAACAGTCCACAGTTTGATGGACAAAATAGTGAAGAATTTTCCATATTGGGCATACTCCTTGGCCCAATGATGTTAGATAAACAAAATTATCCCAAGGAACTAATTAAGGATGTGGATAGACACTTAGCTCCTCAGATGTTTATTCTGTTATTCAGTATATTTACTTAAACAGCCTAAATGCTTGACAGCATAAGGCTTTGTTGAGTGACACATACCACAGAACTCAACAGTCATTATAGAAGAGGCACTGTCAGCTTTGTTGACATGAGGAATAATCTTAGTAAAGGGCTGGAAGGAGGAAGGCTTCAAACAACGCACAATAGGCTCTGACCTTTATTATTTTTTAATCGCTATGTAAATGCATGGGAAACACCTGAAAAATTACATGCCAGAAAGTAACAGTGATTACTTGTGTGTCATGATGAGTGGGATTAAGTAGGATTTTAATTACATTCTTTTGATTCTGTGAATTTATTTAGCACTTACAGAGAGTACATGTTTATTGTGGTATTAAAAGAGCAACAAAGTAGTGGGGTTTTTTTGTAAAAAAAAAGCGTGCCTCCAGTTAACCAGTTTTACATTTGTCCATAAAGTATTGCAAAAAGTGTTTTTCCTGATTAAAAAATCCCAAGAACTTCAATTCTTCTTTCCATATATTTATATTTATCTCCCCTCACATGTGTTTAGGTGAAGAAAATATTTTAAGTGAGAAAACCAAATTTTTGAAGCTCACGTGAGGCCATTCCTACACTGGTCTCTGCTCTGTCAGGATAGGCTAGGTCTCACCTTTGACTTTTTGTAAGAACCAATCAATGGCCTGGTTAATCTATATCAGTCAATCAGACTCATAAAGGTGACTAATTTAGTTAAGATTTTGTGTAATAGTAAAATAATTTCGTTAAAATATTCAGTGTAAGCTTTGCTTAGATGTGTAAATCCATTCTCAAATTTGTATTATATTCAATTTCACTCTTTAAAATACGTATATGTAGTTTCTCCTTTTCTACAGAGAGTAGCATGTTCCATTTCTGTCTTTCTCCCCCATGGAATTGCTAATTCCTATGGGGCTAAGATAGGCTACCCATGGCTTTGAATGGCTTTTCCAAGGGTCTTTGACTTTGGATGCTATGCAGAACACCTAAAAAGCTTTCCTTAGAGGCCAAAGAGGTTTGGTTTTATTCAACAGGACCACTCACTGAGTATTTCATTGATAGCCTCATGCAGGTGGAGCTACTGTATTTCTTTAGCTCCAGCACTCTGAGGTAGCAGCCCTGGCTGAAGCTTTCAGAAGGTGCTGGGCATGCACAGCAGCCTTCTCATTGATCCTACTTCTCTCTTTCCACTTTGGCTTGCTCTCCTAATTTACTTTTGAGTCCCAGTGACTACAAAGGTGAAATCAAATCATCTTTTTAAGTATTTCATATGGATGGAGCATGTTAACCTACCCCTCCTCTGAGGAGCAGAGATAACACAAATCTCAGGAGGAACATAAATCTTAAGCTTTCTGATGGTTCTGCTACTTCAATAGGCAGTGAGTGGAGAAGTGTGTCTCTGTCCGCCCTCAGGCACAGGGCTGGGGTGTGGCTGCTGTCAGTCTGAGAACCAGCCTGGGAGTTCCAGCCCTTCTACCACAGTCCCACATGCGTCGCTCTAAATACCTGCATTTGCAGAGAGAAACTTCTCTCCAGTTGGGCAATCGCAACACTAGGTTGTCCTAAGCATTCAGATGAGTCTCACACTTCTTTTGTGGATATAAAAATCCTCAGGGCTGACCCACGTATTGGCACCTACATAATAATGGGACAAACAAACTCACTACTCTGGCTCTTTGTAGAAGGTATTGACAAGAAGCCCTGCGATCGTGGAATCAGCACATCTCCACCATGGCGTGATAACCAGAAAACAAGAATCAGAGCACTGTGTCTCTGCCTCTCCTTTTTATTGATTCATCATTATTGTTTTAGTTTTTAGAGTGTCTAACTAAAAACAGAGCTGAAAGTCTTCTTACAAACACACATTACAATTTTCCACATCCTCCTTCTCCAGATTTTTCAAGAGTCCCCATTTCTCCTGCAGATAATAAACAATAAAGATCTCTTCAGCATTCATCTCTCTTGCTCTCTTCAGAAGCATATTTTCAGTCACATTTTCACGTACCACCAACGTTCTAACAGAAGTCAAACGGAAATACAATACTTTGTCAAAAAATTAAACTGTTTTGTTTCAAATATGGCATTCATTGTACAATGCACATATTAAGTCAAACAGTAAGAACAAAAGCCTATTTCCCCCACATGGAGGCCAAAAGAGTGTGCACCTGGGTCACTCTGAACACAGAAGAAGCTTTCGACCAGCTTTCATTATTACACCTGCCATACCAGAGTGCCAACCATCCATATGGTTTGTAGTGGCTTAAAAAGAAAAACGGAAGCAAATCATTAAAGAAAATGCTGCAAGATGTATCTATGAACAAGGACTGCATAAATCCTTAAGGCAAGGGGTATGTGGCCTTACATCAGCTGTCCCAGGCAATGCCCGGCCTCATGCTGTAAGGAAGTCTCCATTTCTCAAAGCAGTTAGCTCACACTCTTTTTGAGTTTGTCTTCCTTTGTGCGCTTCTAGTTTTGATGTTCTTCTTGGGGCTGGCGGGTTTGGGAGCAGGTGGCTTTCCCTTTGGTTTGGGGGGATTACTACGACTGGTGCGTCCAGCTGTTTTCTTCTTGTCCTGAACTGTTCTCCGCTGTTCCTGAAGCCTCTCTTCCCACTGCTGGGAGGCAATTTGTAAACATGATTGTCAGATACATCTCACCCCTTTGCGCTAATCAGACATTATCCATGCAATTTTAAATATCAGGGCAATTTTTTTGTAATGTAGTATTTCAACAACTCCAATTATAACGACCCCCATGCTGAGCACTTACCATGTACCTGGGTGATCTGGGAAGTACTCAATACATGATTAAGTCTCTGCATAAGTCTGTTTATTTGAAGCTCACAGAAGCAATTATAGACGTCACCACCAGTAAACAAGCATGGAAAGGTTATTTGCAGAGGGCCGTGTAGCTGGTATATGTCTTAACAGGATTCCAATTCACCACTGTCTCTAGAGCCAAAGGTTTTCTCCCCTGAGTTTTGTACCACCAGCTCTATAATGCAACACTCTTACCCTGCAAAGCCTTCCAAAAAAGCTTTGAGAAGGCTAAAAGAAACCCACCCAACCTCACTAGCAAGTCAGATGATTCTTACCATACTCTCACATCCAAATGAAAATGGAAAGCTTGAGCACATCTAGTGCAACATGGATCCCCAACCTTATTGGCACCAGGGACCGGTTTCATGAAAGACATTTTTTTCCCACATTGGTGTGGTGGTAGGGATAGGGATGGTCCCAGGCTAATTCAAAGGATTCAACAACCTAGACTCACATATATGTTTCACAGTAGGGTTCATGCTCCTATGAGAATCCAGTGCTTTGGATCAGGCAGCAATGTGAGTGGTAGCGAAGAGCTGCAAGTACAGATCAAACTCCACTTGCTCAACTGCCACTCCGCTCCTGCTGTGTGGCCTGTTTCCTAACAGGCCATGGACAGGTAGTGGTCCATGCCCAGTGGGCCAGAGATGCCTGCAGTACAATATCTCCTCCTACCCACTGGGGATATGTTCCAGGATCCCCAGCATGTGGTGGAAACCATGGAATACTACTAAACTCTCTATACACTGTGTATTTTGCTTGTATATACATATCTATGATAAAGTTTAATTAATAGACTAGGTACCATAAAAGACTAACAGCAATAATTTAAAAATCATAACAATGTACTATAATAAAATTTATGTGCGCATGACCTCTTTCTCTTAAAATACCTCACTGTATTGCACTGAGGTTTTGGACCACAACTGACCCCAGGTAACAAACTGTCTGACATGGAACTATGGACAAGGGGGATTAGTGCGAGCTACTAAAATGCTAACTATCCAGGCTGTTGGGAAATGAATCATTCTAGGTAATCAACTTTCCCTGAAAATAGAAGATGTATCCTTTATATTTCTCAAGTAAGACACAATTTGCAAGTGAGTCCCCTTGGATAGAAACTGTTTATGCTAAAACACATATGATTCTTCTTTCTTAGGGTCTGTTTCATTCAGCAAAGCATTTGAGCAGCACCTCAGGCCAGGCAGAGTTTTAGGCACCAGAAATGCAATGAAAAGGAAAACACTGTCCTCCTCCTCCCAGGGAATATTCTAGTCTACTCTAAGATAATAAATTTATTGCTGTATGTTGCTATTGTATGGTGATTTTTTTCAAATTCTTATTGAATATTTGTTGGCAAAGTAAATTGTCTGAAGACCTGTGATTCCTGAAGCTTTGTTTACCTCAGCCATCACAGGTCCTTCTGGTCGACCTACTTTCCATGGATGCTTGCAAGCTACTATATGCTTGGAAACTAGACAACCAATTCAGCTAGAATTTTCAGTCTAGCAACACTACTCATACTCTTGAGCACATTTTGAGCTTTCCACCATGTGCTTTTCGCTCAGAATTGACACAAGAGTGTCTGGTTCTATTATGCAGACATGCTCTGAGCAAAAATGCCACAATATAAATGTATTTTCCGTGAGTCAGTTATTAATATATACTCTTTCCTTGTCCAAAAATTTTTATTCATACAAACTGGAGAACACAGGCAGGATTAGTTCCCTTTGTGAATACCAAAACATAAATTCTTTTGAGTACAGTTAAGCTTCTTTTCAGGAGAAGGTGTTACTTGAAAAATCTCAAACCAATTACTTGATATCTTTAGATCTGGTATGATTTCTCATTTTGGGAAAAAACCATTCTATCTCCTCTAATTGAATTATCAATATCTCTATATTGTCATTATAATTATTTGACCAAAACCAGTTACTTTTTGTAAATGATTTTTGATGGAAGTCTTATTTTATTTTAAGTATGGGGAAAGATTTTGCTATATGGAGTGATGGTATGAATTTTAGAACTAGGCATCTGGATATTTGAATATCCTTAAAATAGAGTATATATTGGTTTTAGGCTCAATGGATATTAATTCTGCTAAAGTATCTTACTACTTGTTAAAACAATGGTAATAAATAACTCTTTAATCTGGACATAACTAGTATATTACAATTGAATACAACTAAATCAACTGAATTCAAATGATAGATTTCTGATAAAATTGCTAGTAAGAATAGTTATACTTCTTACCTTATTATTCAAAAGCAAAGATTGTTGCTACTGCTGGCTTCCATGAGAGCTTACAGATGAGACAATGTGAAAAATTCCCAAAATGCACAGAATTTCCTTACATGCATTTATTTCCACATTCACAATGTTATCAGTTATACTTACTATGGATCTTTTACTAAGTTGGTCCCTCCATTTTTCTACTAGGCAATTTTCAAGAAGCATCATTCTGTAAAAAGGTAATTTATCTTAGAAAGTAGCTTTTGATTGCAAAAGTAAAAAATGTAAAATACAGAAAATCATAAAAACATCATTTAATAACCCTTCTCTCCATCATCCATGTATCTTAAATTTATATACTATTTGTATTTCCTTCCATTCTCCCTCGTATGTATATATGGACACACACAGAGATATATATCTATATATTTGGATCACATTACATATTTAGATCATACTGTACATTTCCTTTCATCATTATAGGCATTCGCCGATATAACGATAAAAGCTCAAACATTATCTTTAAACAATATAACAACTATGAATATTCACTTAATTATTTGCTGCTATTGAACCCTGACTTCTATTTATCTGTCATTATCAGTGCTGTGTTGAATATCCTTGTATAAAGTACTGACCACTGACCTATTATTTCCTTGGGATAAATTTCTAAAAGTAGAACAATAAGGTCAAAGGATATTTTTAAAAAATTTTCATTACTCAGTGCCAAATTGTTTACAAAATGCCTGTTCTTTCACCCAATTTGCTAACATTATCAAGTAAAAATAGTCTTTTTATTTGGTTTTTGGAATGACAAAAGGACATTCCTTAACATTTATTATTTGTATTTTTTCTGAAACTACATGGATTTATGTACACAAATTCCTATATTCTAATACTGATTTTCTATAACTCTTTATAGGATAAGATCACCAATTCTTTGTCACACCACCTCATGAACTTTTTCAATCTTTATTAGTCTATTTGTATTTGTGATTTTTAACTACATAATATTATATGGTTAAATATTACATTGACATTTCCCTTCTAATTCTACATATTACTTTTATGTTTACAAATTATTTTGTCTTTCAAATATCACAATTTAGTCACTTAATTTTACCCTTTTTAAATTGTAAAATATTTACCAATTTAATCTACTTGAAATTTATTTTACAGCTCAGTATAAAGTGAAAAAATGTACTTTTTTCCCAAATGAGTGTATTTGCAATGTGAGTTAACATTCCTTTCTTGTTAATTTGGTCTATTTCTTTTATGATAAAATGTCCTATTATGCATTGCCATTCGTTTCAATAATTTTTGCTCTGTTTTGCTCTGCTTTGTCTACTCTGCACCACTTAGTTTTGATAAATATTAAAACAACACCGTGTTTTAACCACTTTGTGAGTCTCATGATGCACATGTTTTCTAATTTTTACAAAATCTCCTTTGCATGTCCTTACTGGCTTATTTCCCCCAATCACCATCAGTATCCTTTGTGAAGACATAAATCCCAGTTATGCCAAAGTATTTGTACTAGGGTAGATTTATAGTCTATTCATCTGTCCAAACAGAATCGAATGACTAGCAACCTGTTGTCCCCACTGCACTGAGCACTGCAGGAGATAGCACCAGCCCAGAAATATTCATTGCCTCTTGAGACAAATGAGATGTAAGTAGGATAGCTTAGAAGTCAACAACACAGGCAGCCTATGAGGAAGTATACAAGTATTGATGAAATATATAAGAAGGTGTCAAGCTGGGCATGGTGGTACACGCTTATAATCCCAGCACTCAGGAGGCTAAAGCGGGAAGGATCACTGCAATTTCGAGACTAGCCTGGGCTCCATAGTGATTTCAAGACCAGCATGAACTACACACAGAGACCTTGTCTCAAAAAAAAAAAAAAGGAACAAAGAATAAAAAAGTTGTCCAACTGAGATCAATTTTAAAAGATATTTTCATTTTCTTTTTGGAAGAATGCAGTCTTAGCCTGCACCAAAAAGAAACAGGTAAGCACACCTAGCAGAAATCCAAAGGATGATTTCCATGTTAGATACAAATGCCTGGTTTTCCTGGGGAAGTATATTGTACTAAGTGATGAGCCCCAGCCTGGAACCTGGGCTGAAGAGTTTGACTTCATTACAAACAAGGCACAGATAATATGAAAAATGATCAGGGAAAGGATATGGAAACAAAATTCCCAGCTGGGGAGTCTGTGTGAGTCTGGGAAACATATTCATTTGTTTATACTTTGCCTGGTAATGACTTCAGTTGACAGACACACATCCTGAGATTCAGAAGTCACCTTACCTTGTGAGTGTGAGTGTGTGCATAAGTGAATGTGTGCAGCATGTGTGCAACATTCTATCAAACAAATATTGTGAAATGTACACTCAGAAAACCCGTGGAACTCTAGTCTCAGAAGGATACCTCGCTCACCTGTCAGTGACCAAACGGACTTTTATAAGTTCAGTATTATTCACACTGACTTGATTAAATGACTTAAAAAAACTGTTCTTACTCAAAATAATTTACTTTCCTACATGTTTTTGAAATCAATAAATTTTGAAATTGATTTTAAAAGATTCTATGCAAATTCTCCATTTTTTTCCTTTTTCTTCCATTCTACAAGAAATTGATACTTAGAATATATAATATCCTTGTTTGTTTGTTTGTTTAGGTAGCAGGAATTGAACTTATGACTTTGTGTTTGCCAGGCAGGCACTTATGCCACTGAACTATATCCCTGGCCAGTATAATATCCTATTAAAATTACTTATTTAGAAAGAATGACCAGGATCATTTCGGTCTGTGCATGTGGGTACCTGTGTGTGCGCGTGTGCTCCTCTGTGTGTGTTTTAAGGGTGACTCCTAAGTGAGCTCTACGCTGTGTAAGCCATGTGCAGGTCCTGGCACCCCTCCCAGCTAACCTTGAGCGCCACTCGTAACACATGATGAGGACGTCTTGATGGGGCAGGATGTGAGGACACTGGCAGGAAGAATTCGTGATGAGCGGGACTTGTGTCCGAGGGATGGGAGACGAGGACTTGAAGATCTCCTTGACATCCACCACAGTTGTGACTTCATTGCAGCCGCTCCTCTGCACGGCTTTTATTTTAGCATGAATAACTACAATTTAAAAATCCAGATAAGTGTTGTTGGCGCCTCTGGGGGAAAACTAAGACAGGTACACAGAGCCAAATCTTGAGCTGCTAGTAAAGAATCACTCCTGTAATTATGGTCATGTCCAAGCAACCCCGATGCAGGCAAAAAGCCCACATAGTCATGTGCTAAATGCAAAACATCCCATATTGTCACCACTGTCTTAGAAGTTCTAAGTCACACTACGAGATGGAAAAGCTCAGGCTTAAGGTCAGCAAAAATTTCAGAGAAATATTTATTTATTTCTATGCTCCCTTGTGATGATTTGGAGTGAGCGTCCCCTATTGTCAAACTCCGATGTCACAGCGAAGTTTGCATTCCCTCAATCAACCCTCTCATGCTTGACCTTACTCGGATTAACAGAAAAAGTTATTAGAGTCAGAACATTTTCTAACTGCAAGGAATCTCTGCAAATTGCTGTTCTCAATCCTTTAATTTCCCAGACTGACAGAGGAAGGCCTGGGGTGAACTGTTATTACAGATGGCTGTTCATGTCATTGTCTTTGATCAGGTTTTAAATTCTGGCTGCTTTGGTTCCTTGCTATTATTCCTGCCCCCCATGGACTTGTAATTAGCCTAATATGGGTCTGTCTTGGATTCCATCCTAAAGCTGCCTTACGGAGGAGCCAAAAGCACTTGAACAGAAAAATGTTTCATCTCCAGGGTTGACACAAGGCCGAGACGCCCCAGAGACTAGGTTGGCAGAGAAACTGCTAACACCTAAGGCTGGATCAGGGTAGCTGAGGAACTACACTGAGCTGATTAAGACAATATCCACACAGAACAGGTTTCAAGGAACAAGCTTCTGGAAAAGATTATGTACTTATTTTGTTGTTGAATTATTCAAAATGACGATATGGGATTCTCCAAACTGACGGTTTAAGTGCAGGTTATTTTTTCATATTTCTGTACTATTGTGATCCTCCTATTATTATATGTGTTATATAATCTAAATTTTCTTCCTGATATAAAATTTCACTTTGAACTCTGAAAGCTAAGCTAAGCAAATACACTGAATACTTTTCCCCAAAACAATTTTCTGTTATTTCAGCAGAAATAATTGAAACAATGCATCAAAATATAAAATAGACCAAGTAGAACAAAAATAAAATTTAAAGAATGTATTTTTAGTTATATGTTCCTTCAAAGGATGACCATAGAACTGAAATTAACTAAATCATTTAAAATATCATGACTAACTTTTTTCTTTGAAGAAAATGCTGAGAGCATTTATTTTGATTCTGCGGCCAGAGGTTTTGTGGTTGACATATTTCCTCACAGTTTCTTCAGGGTGTTAAGTATTTGTAGCTGTTCAGAAGCAAGATATACACAGGCTGATCTTAATTTTCTAGGCCTTAGATCATCAAATCCACAGACCTCCAGCGGCAGGAAGATGTTTAAAGAAGAGTAAGGGAGATGTGCCTTTACTAACAGCACTTCTAAAATAGCAGAGTGAGACGCCAAACTTTATGTCTGATCGATGTAACTGCTGTCACCTAGATCATTTGCTTTGTTTTTACTCAATGTACTCAAAAGCAAAACCTCTTATAATTATTACTGTGCCATCTAGAGGCTGCATAATTAGTTAGAAAAACCGTCAGCCTTATTTACTGTGTCTAGCAGACGGTGTGCCAAGTCCCCAAAGTGAACGGCTGGGCGCACTGACTCACCGTAGCTGTAGTTCTTGCTCAGGTATGTTGCCAAAGTTGGCTTCACTTTTTTACACTTGCACCGATCTAAAAAAAAATGTCAAAGGTTGATGAGAAGTGGGAAAGGAGTGTAGAAGTCACTGGGGGCAGGAGGAGGAGAGGGAGGGATGAACCAGAACTGACCAGGGCTGAGGCGTTTGCAGTCCACATCCAGGGGCCCTTCTTGAACCATCATATCTGGGGTGACATCCAGCCACTTTGCATCTGAAACACACACGGCCACATGGGTCAGTCAGCAAGTGGGGCTTTCACCCGACTGCAATAAGGAACCATCTAACCATCATACTAAAAATAAAGAGTAAAGATGGCAGGGCTGGGGATATAGCTCAGTGGCATAAGCGCCTGCCTGGCAAGTGCAAGGTCCTAAGTTTGAGTCCCAGTACCAGAAAAAAAAAAAGATGGCATTAATGGTTAACTACTTCTTCCAGAAAGACACCCCCACACTAAAGAAAGAAGTCTTTCAGGTGACACTTTACCTCCCCAAGCACGGAAATTAGACCAATGCAAATCCATTTAAGCCACCTGGATAAATTGCATTGCTCCCTCCCAAACATTGATTTTCCATGTGATAGTTAAAATTTTCACTTCACTTTGTTCTGGTTTTTTGACAGGGTCTCGCTGTGTAGGCCAGGCTTGCCTTGAACTTACTGCATAGCCCAGACTAGCCTAGAACTCCTGCCAATCCTCCTGCCTCTGCCTCCTGAGTGTGGTTCTCCCGCTGATAATTTAATCAAAACAGTCAGAATATTTCTAAATCCCCAATTCACATTTTGCAAGGCAAAAACAGTTCACAGCTGCAGAACTGACACCAAGCACCACTAGGCGTAGTGGCACACAGCTGTAACTTCAGTACTCTGGGAGGCTGAAGCAGGAAGATCCTAAGTTCCAGCCCAGCTTGGGTAACCATGACTTAGTGAGAGCCTATCTCAGAAAAAAAGTGTGTGTGTATGTGTGTGTGTGTGTGTGTGTGGTGTATAAGGATGTAGCTCAGTAGAAAGGCCCTTGGTTCAATCTCCAGGGCTGAAAAATAGCTTAACCAAGAAATATATGTTTTTAAACTCAGAATTGGAGAAAAATTTCTAGTGGCCTCTCAGCGTACCTGCTCCTTGTTTATGTTCAGGGCTCTGCTTAGAGGTCACGTACAGGCAACACATCATCTCTAACTGTGAACAACCTGGCTTAGAGAAAGCTTGGATAAAAGAATGCAGAACTATTCTAAGGTTTCATTTCAAGAAGCAAATTTAGTCCTGCCTCTTCCAACAAAAGCAGCAACATGGCCAAAGAGAAAGAAGGGAGGTAAAGAAGCCGAGATCAGATTAGCTAAAATGCCACAGCCCTTGCCTGCTGGTCAGTGCCCAGGAAACTGAGCTCAGACCCCACTACCAGGACTTCTGCATCTACAAACCTCGCTCCCGCTGGGGTAGGGAGGGAACACAGGGTTGCTCTTTCAGGAAATCTTTCAAGAAGGAGCAATTGGATAATTAACCCCTGTTGCTGGGATTGATTGAAGAATTAAACGAGTCAACGCACGTAACATCACACACACACACACACACGCATACACACACGGTAGTACCTGGTATCATTTCTGTCATAACTGTAAATAAAAACATTGCAAATGGCTCCCTTTTAACCAGTATTTATTTATTTATTACTGAGGATGGGATCCAGGGTCTTTGCACTGTTACATCTCTACCTCTATATTAAATTTAAAGACAGGGTCTCGTTAATTTGGTAAATTGCCCATGTTGGGCTCTGTCTCACCCTTCACCTGCCTCAGCCTCATAGAGTGCTGGGCATAAGCAACTTTTTGTCCTTTTACAGGGCGTCCTGCTGTTCCCTACCGTTCAAAAGGTCCACACCGCGGTCTCCCCCACCCCACCCTTCCCACCTGCTCCAAGCCTGAGAAGTGAACCAATCCCAAGGGGCTCTCAGGCGTCAGCCCCAGCTAGGGGCAACACCTCCTGCTGCCCTCCCATGCCTCACCCTCCGGGAGGTCGGTGACGATGGCCTCGGGCGAGATGCACACGCCGCGGTCGTAGACAGGCAGCTCGTCGCAGGCCAGGCTCTCGGGCCAGCTGTGGTTGTAGAGATTCATGAGCGGCTCGCAGCCGTCGCGCGCGCGCTGGCACACAGACTTGCAGGGCTTGATGGGGTCGTGCAGGAACTCCAGCGCGCAGATGGGCGCGTACATTGCGCAGAGGAAGAAGCGCAGCACGGCGCTGCAGTTGGCATCCACCAGCTCCTCGTATTGCTCGATGGCCAGCACGGCGTTCTCCTGCGTGCTGTGGTGCAGGTGGTTGGGCATCCGCGTGAGGTTCCAGGGCATTGCACGGCACATGGGAATGCGCACCGCTTCGCAGGGCGCGCTGTGCACACCTGGCGCCAGGCGCAACCAGAGGAGCAGCGCGAGGAGGACACGGGGGACCATGGCGCTGCTTTCGCGCTCTGCGCCCAGCCGGGCCTCGGCAGCAGAGCCTCCCGAGAGGTGCAGGAGGGTCCTGAGCAAGTCCTCGGGGTCGCCGGAGAGGTCCCCGCTCCACCTCTGCGGAGCTCCGCCGACGGGCGCACGGGCACCAGCGCTCGGCCTCGGGGGCGCGCACCGCCCGGGCAGCTCGGAGCGCGGCCGGCCCGGCCATGGCGCGACCTATTTATCCCCGACTCCCCTGACGTGGGCCGCGCGCTCCCGGGCCTCTGGTTCCCCTCTGCCCCACCCCCGACCCCGCCGTGCAGAAGCGCTGACATCATCTCCCGGTTTTGCATGGCCTCGAAGTCCCTCCTTTTTCTTAGGATCAAGAAAAAAAGAGTATCTGGCTAGTCTATCTGGACAATGGTACTGGAAGATGCAGGAGAGAAACGCAAGAGAAAGAAAGGAGCCCTTTGCTCCGTGGACCGGGACTCTCCCCCAGCGGGGGCGGGCACCGCCACTTTCTAATTCAGAGACCTGTTTGCTTTGTCCAGTAGGGGGCATGAGACGCCCCGTGCAGGGACACAGTCTGCAGGGGAGACAGCAGACAACTTTGCTACTGAGGCTTTCTTTATATAAACCACCCCACGCGCCCTGGTTCTGTGCAGCTTGTTTTTATTTTGTTGTTGTGGTGGTAGTGGTAGTGGACATCCGCTGTGGCTCAGATTTTTCTAGAATGGCACTTGGATTGTGTCTCCTCCAAGAATTTAACAGCATGGCTCAGAGCCACCATCTTCCAGTTTGAGAAAGGTCTTCTATCAACAGCCTCGTGTCAAGTAATTTTCATCCTCACAGCCTCATTCTTCAGGCTTGGGGATCGAACCCAGAGACACTTTACCACTGAGCTACATCTCAAGCCCTATTCATTTTTTCCTTTTGAGACAAAGTCTCACTAAATTGTTTAGGAGGACTTTGAACTTGGTGGTCCTCCTGCTTGGGTCTCTCCAGGAGCTGGAAATACAAATGTTGAGCTCTGTTGTGCGTGGAGACGGTTACTTGAATAGGAAGCTGTGCTGTGTGGGAAGCCAGTCTGTATGTTTTGTTTTCTCTTCTATCTTGTTTGCATTAGGAAAAGGTAAGACCAATCCCTGGACCAACCCACTACTCACAGAAAGGGAAGCTTAATTGTCTCTAGCCTACATCAGTTTGTATGCAGTAAGACTTCTGGTGTATATTTGCCTAGGGCTTTAGCAATGGAAACATGTTCTTTGAATAGCAATCTTTAAAACCATAGTTTAGTTTAAAATCTGAATTCGAGACAGCCTGGTTTTTTTTTTTTTTTTTCTCTCCAAAGCTAAGGCCCACAAAATTAGTTTAGTTTGACCTTGACCAAGGCAGATGACTAAAATAGCTGAGAAAATAAGTACCACTGACATTTAATGGGCCTCTACAATAGCCCGGGCATGGAGCTAAGCACTTCAAATGCATTTTTTTAAAGGCACTTGAGTTAAACTGGATAAGTAAAAAGGATAAATGAGACAAATATATTTCAAGGTTCACCAGTGGAGTTCTGACTCCTCTGGGGACATTACAGGCCAGTGGAGAGAGATATTCTAGTTTGCTATAGAGCAAATTTAAAGCCACAAAGATAACAAACCAGGCTAGGAAACTATCAAGCAAGCAGAATGAGGCACATGAAATACCAGCAGGGAAGTCCCAAGAGTCTAAATCCTTTGCTTCATGGCAAAGAATTTTAACAAGAGCTCCTACCAGGGGAGCAAGAGAAGAGCAGACCTCCCTACCCTTTTCTTGGGAGTTGTTTTGAGGAGGGTGAACTTGGAAGGAGCTCCAACTTCAACAGCCAGTTTGGATTTCTGCCTTTGTGTTTGCCAGTCCCAAGCCCCCAGGCTTAGGGCCCTCTGTTGCTTCCTGATTGCTTGTCTTTTACACACAGCCTAGGGGGACTGGAGTCCTTCTTTGAAATGCTCTTCACGTACTCCATCGGAGCATGGTATTATCAAGTTTCCCCGAAAATAAGACCCAGTTGGAAAATAATCAGCCCTAGAAACTAGAGATGAAAAATGCCAGCCCCATTTAGCCTGTCCTTGCCTTACCTGCCTTACAGAGTAGCCACCCAAGCACAAGAACAGCGAGAGCAGGTAAGGCAAGGCCAGGCTGACTGGGGCTGGTATTTTTCAGCTCTAGTCTTCAAGTCTGATTATTTTCCAGCTAGGTCTTATTTTTGGGGAAAGAGGGCAAGTCTCTGGTCTTTCTGTAGAGCTGGACACAACAGCCTATAGATTTGCCATCTGCCCTTCTTCTTCTTCTGGGGGCTGAGTTCCAGAAGACCGTACTTTGGCACTCAGTCCATTACTTCAAGCAGAGCAAGCTCCCTCCTAGTGGGGCCTTCTCTCCTGAGACCCCCTTCAGGCACCTAGCAGCCTACTTCTTTGCCCATCCTTTAATGCCTGGTGTTCCCTCCAGTTCTATCCTCAGCCTCTTCTTCTTAACACAGCACCACTCTAGGTTTTCTGACTTTTGACCTGGAGGGCTGGAGAATTCATTACCCAGCATCCCCTGGAGGGTGGGGAGCCACTGCCCAGGAGCCCGTGTTCTACTCTTGGGTTTCAAGTCCTGCCTATGTGCCCATGGCTTCTAAAGCCCCAGAGCCCTGCAGCCTTCTGGAAGTGCTTTTCCAACTGTCTCCTGACTATTCCGCCTGAATCTAAAGCCAGCCAAGCCTCACTGGAATTGATCTCCTTTCCCCACTAGCACTGAATCCCAGTGACCCAAGCTAGAAACCCCTACTCCTACGATTGATTGCTTGATAGGAAGTTACTAGGGACTGAGCCAAGGGTTTTCACACTGAGCTATATCTCCTGCTTTTTTTATTTTTTATCTTGAGACAGGGTTTCCCTAAGTTGCTAAGTTGCTCGGGCTGGACTCAGACTTGTGATCTTCCCAAAGTGCCAGAGTGACGGGGTGCACCACATACACCTGACTCTCTTGACTCTAAACCTTTCTCTATTATGGTTCTCAGCTCTACCCTTCCTTCTCCATTTCTCTGACCAGTGCCTTAGCACAGGCTAGATTTCTTACCTGAATAAGAACACTTTCCTGAATGGTCTCTGTATTTTCTCCAGCCCTACCCAATCACCAGGCTGACAGCTCAGTGCCTGCTTAGCTAAGTACATCCCTGACGCCCCTCTCTAGCTCTAGATCTATCAATGGCTCTCACCATCCTCAGTATTAATAACAAAAATCCTTAAGGTGGAGTTGAAGGTCTGGAGTGAGTGATCTGGCGCCAGAGTACTCTCCTGCTTTGTGCCTGAAGCCCACCCTTATGCCCTTTGCTGTTTACCCCATGCCCTTCATCCCAAGTGTGTCTGCCTGACTCCTTTAACCTCCACATGGAGCACTTGTAAAGAAGCTATGAACTTGGATAGCAAGGTCTTTTTCAAGTTGCCATCTTTTTAAAAATTACATGTTATAGATCTGAGCATTACTCAAACATAAACACAATTAACTTTCGTTTGTTTCTTTGTTTGTTGTTTTTGTGTTATTGGGGATCGAGCCCAGGATCCTCACCCTGAGCTACATCCCCAGCCCTTTTTATTTTTTTTAATTTTGAGATAGGGTCTTCATCTATTGCTTAACTTCCCCGGGCTGCGTTTGAACTCTGGATCCTGATCTTCCAGTCTCATCTCCCAGAGGGCTGGGATTACCGGAGTGCACCCCCAGCCTGGCCAGTGAACTGTACTTCGAGATGTTGAGCCTCCAGGCAGAGCAAACTCTACACCTGAGACCTTGCCAGTTGGTGGGGGAGGGGAGTGGTCTCACTTTAAGACGAAGTTCCTGAATCGTAGGCCTGTTGCAAGGGGCATAATTAATTCCTTCCTGAAGGGGTGAGTCTTTCTTCTAATTGGAGAAAGTTTGCAGTTTTTCCAAGTGGCAAGTTACATGCAATGCAGCAGCTGTGCCTTTGTCATCGTGACCTTGGAATCGCCCCCACCCTGTAAGTAGAGGAACGTATTCCCTTGCTGCGCCTTCCCAGCTCCCTGCCCCCTTAAATCGCCGCGGTGCCCTCCAGGATGTCGGTGGCACGGCCGCCGCTGCGTTTCCTGTTGGCAGCAGTGAGCCAAGGAAGCAGCCGCTGCAGAAGGAGGAGGCCGAGGCAGGAGCAGCTGCTCGCGGTTCTCCGCAGGTTTCCTCTTCGCCAGGCCCGGCCGCGTCCCCTTCTCAGCCCGAGAGGCCCCGCGTGCGGACCTCTCGGCCCGGTCTCAGCACCGGGACTCCTGCTCCCCTTCCAGCCATGCCAGGGCGCGCCCCTCCCCGCGAGGCCCCGGGCACTCCGGGCGCCTGGCTCTGGGTCTGCGTGCTGGGCGGGCTGTGCGCCCTAGGCACGGCTGGGTTCCCGGGGACGCCGCGCCCCTGCCAGGCCCCACAGCAGTGGGAAGGACGCCAGGTCCTGTACCAGCAGAGCAGTGGGCGCAACAGCCGGGCGCTGCTGTCCTACGACGGCCCCAACCGGCGCGTGAGGGTGCTGGACGAGAAGAAGGCGCTTATCCCCTGCAAGAGGTACTCTGGGACCCCAGAGCTGATGCGGGAGGGGCCCTGGGGACCGCATGGGGCAGGGCTGGGCCTGCAGTGCCAAGTACGGAGGAGGCAGGTGAAGCAGGACCCGGCAAGCGCAAGAGCTAACTGCTGGGAACCCCCGCCCCAGCCGAGTCCAAGTTCACCCCAAGTCCACTGGCTGCTGAGTCAGGCTGTCACGCTGGAGCATGCAGCCTTGGGCCTGTCTCAGGCAGTAGTTCATTCCTTCCTGCAGCCATCATGAAGAACAAGAGCCAAACAGATATTTAAAAAATAAAAATAAAATAAAATAAAATAAAATATATTATATATATATATATATATATATATATAACACGTTTAAAAGGACTATTTTAAAAATAAATATCTACATTTTAAGGAAATGTTTTGGGGGACTGATTTTTAAAAATCAGCCACCTCACCTTGTTACAATGATTAAAATTTTGGTTTATAGTCCCTTAAGGTTTTTTTTTTGAGCTAGTTTTACATACTGTCAGGAATCATATACTATTATCCTTACATTTTTGTTAACCTCCCTTCTTACATGTCCTTATTTTCCATTTCATTAGTTGACCCTTATTTGTGTTTAATGACTGTACAAAATTCCATAGAGGGGTGATTCTATCATTTATACATGTTATATTTTTACCGTGGTCAGATCATTCACCTTTCCACTTCTGTTGTGACAGAGGACATCCTTTCTGAGACTTCCTCTTGGTTCTGGCCCCTTTAAGACCTGGTTTCTAATTTGGGATCACCACCTGTCTCCCAGTCCTCCTTCTGCCACCATCAGGTCCCGGCAGGGTCACACTGGGCTCTGTGAGGCACCTGCCTCTGGGGAAGGTGGGCATGAATCCCCACGGTAAAAGGCCCCAGGAGAGTAAGATCAGTGGCAAAAGTGCATTATTTTCGAGAACAAAACAAATCTTGAGAGATCCATTTCACCTAAAAGCGTTTGGTGAAGGCTGAGGCATCTTGAGGAAAGTATAGAAAGGCTAGAACCTTCCAAGCTATAGATTCAGGATGCAAGATAATGCTTGTGTGAAGTATATGTAGTAGCAGGACTTCTGTGTTCCTGGGTTCTGCATCGGAGGATCCAATCAACTTCGAATCAAAAATATTTGGAAAGGGAAGCATCTGAGCAGAAGAGTACAGACCTTTTCCCTTGTCATCACTTCCTCATACAGTAGAACATCTATTTACATACCATTTAGGTTGCATTAAGAATTAGACACAATCCGGATGTGCTTTAAACTATATGGGAGGATGGATGTAATTTATATGCAAATACTATGCCATTTTACAAGAGGGACTTGAGCATCCAGAGATTTGGGTATCCACAGGGGTTCTGGTGCCCATCCCTTTGGATACCTAGGGAGGACTGTACTGAGTTCTCTGGGAGGCCTTGGACATCAGTCTTTATGGTAGACTCTGAATAAATGCAAAACTTTTCAAGACCTCATGTAAATGTTTTGGGTTGGGTCTTAAAGGACACAAAAATAATAACAGCTGACATTTGAGTGCTTACTATGTAAGATGTGATGCTAACTGTTCAAAAGAAAAGACAAACTGATGGGGGAAAGGGGAAAGGAAGGAAGAGAAAAAGAAAAAAAATATACACAAGATAATTAAGATAGTTATACAGTTAGTTTCTCTTAGTTCCTTGAAAAGGAATGTTTGTGCTAATATTGTTTGGACAAGATATCATGCCTATGTTTCATATTCTGAATAACTGCTGCAAAACAGCAATACACAATGTAATAATTATTGTAACTCTCTTACCAACCTGTTTTGAAATTGTTTTATTTTTATTTTTTGGCTTTAAAATAAAAAAAGGACATGATGCTAACTTTATAAATATGATTTAGTTTAAATCTCTCAACAGTTTAACGGTTGGTTTTATAATCTCCATTTTATAGACGCTCTGCACTGCAAAAATTTCTCACGAACACATAGTGTCAAAAATTTCTCACTGAGCTTGAAATTTAAAGAAGTTGAGCGGATTCTTTGCTTGTTTATTTGTTTCTTCTGTACTAGGGACTGAACCCATTACCTTTGCACTGGGTTACATCCCCAGCCCTTAAAAATATATATATAATTTTTAAATTTAGAGACAAGATCTGGCTAAGTTGCCCAGGCTGGGGTAGAACTTACAATCCTCCTGCCTCAGCCTCCCAGAGTGCTGGGATTTCAGGCCTGTACCTCTGGGCTGGCTCACATTCAACAATAATTTGTTGTGTATCAGCAGAGTGAGACCTGATTTTCTGGGAGGTGGTTGCCTGGGGGGTGGAGTCACAAGTGAAAAACCCCTGTCATCTGGGACATGGTGAAAACACCTAGGACAGGTACCTAGCCCAGACTTCCTGGGTGCAGGTGAGGTGAGAGTGACCTCAAGCACCTATACCAGCTAAAGGGGACACGATACTGAGGGGGTCTGAACAATAGTAGTGGTAAGTAGCAGCAGTGGGGCTAGGGAGACATGGATGAAAGGATGCATTGGACAGGTTTTTCTGAAGGCTGTGCCAATGATCCAATGTTGGCAGGGGTGGGAAGGGAGGGGGAAAGAGTCAGGAGGCCTCTGTTTTTAGTCCCTGAAGCTAACTGTATTGATGATGTGGAATGGATGGTTAATCCTTGAGATAGGAAGTGGCTTTTGGTGCTTCCAGTTCTGCGAGGTTATGTGAAGACCAGTACCATAGTGGTGTGTTGGTGAGGAGCCCTGGTGTCTTGGTAAGCACAATGGTATGTTGTTGAGCAGTGGTGCGAAGGTGGATGGACTGGCCCAGGGCTCACTCCTGATGAGACAGAGTGTGGGCAGGAGAGTGATAAAGTCTCACCCCTTCAGATATAGTATTTTTTACAAATTAAGAAATTTGGCTTTAAAGCCAGAGAAATTAAGTCAGAACCCATTTGTGGGTCATTGAGTAAGTTATTAAAGCTTTCAGAGACTTGGTTTCTCTTTTACAAAATGAGAATAGAGTAGCTAATTTCTTAGGTTACTCTGGGGATTAAATGAGTTCACATGTATAAAGCAAATGGCCCAGCATCTGATAGCACATTAAAGACACTTAGCCTGTGACCGTAGTCTGTGTTGTCTCTACCACCAGCATCACTGCCATCATCATCCTGGTGAATTTCTCAAGTGCCAGAGACTTGCCACCAGCCCTGTGGACTCAGAACTCAATTCAGCAGAACACAGAAAGGGGACATTCCCCTGGGAGCAGACTTGGACCATGCCAACTCAAGTACCAAGTTATATTTCAGTGAGTTTTGCAGCTGGCATGGGGACCAGGATTCTCAAATCCACAAGACTGTGTCATTGACTCCTGTAGTCAAAACTATGGAGAACCGGCTTGTAGTCATTAGGTTGTGAGCAAAGAGTTGGAGCAAATACATTCAACAAACACCCAGGGATAGCCTGTTGTGGGTACTCTTGACTTCTCCATCATGAAGACAAGGCCAGCCCAGAGTGGTGTTTAGTGGTAATCAGGTGAAGATGAAATGATACTCTCATCTTCACCGCTGAGTTTCATTGTCAGTGGTTCCATTATTCATACTGTGTTGGTCCGGAATCCTTTTCCACTGAACAGAACATGTTGGATACTACCTCAGTCTCCCTCCTCCATGAGTCTGCGATTGATTAGTAGGGTCTTTATATGCAGGTTATACCATTAGTAGGGTGATAGCCTAATCTTGTTGGCCTGTGTGCTTTTGTCCCCTCTGGTGATGATTCCTTATTTCTCTGTCCTCTATTAAGTGCTGGTTTCACAGTTTAGCTGTTAGAAGGTCATCTTATTCCCCTTCTTTCCAAGTTCTTGGCCAGGTTCTATCTCAAAGTCTCCTTGCTAGTTCTAAGTCAGATGTAGAAAATAGCGTTTGGTGCATAAATGCAATTTCAACTCTAAATGTAGATTTGTTGGAACAAACTCAAAAAAAATTTTTTTTTCAGGTATCAGCAGTCTGGCCAAGGAAACAGATGTTATTTGAGGGAAAATATGGGTAGGTTGTCTCTTTGTATTTATTAGTAAGTTGAGAAGTAAGTTTTAGCATTGGATCAACCTAAGAGATTTTCATTCTGTATCCAGATAGTTACGGAAAATCCCACTGATAGTTACTGTGGGATGACCAGGATTTTCCGGGCTCTCTTTCCTCTGAGATGATGGAAAAGATTAAACGATATTACAAGCATCAGATAAGACCAGCCTGAACAGAGAATGGGAAATATTAGTAATTGATACTATTTTGCTTTTTGGTTCCAACTGTCTTTCCTGTCTCCTTGATGAAGTTCACAAGAATTATGCTTGGAAGGAAAAGCGAGATTACTTTTGTATTTCAGTCAATATGTTGAACTTTATGGGAGGAACAGTGTGGATATTGAATAAATTCCATGAGACCGTGAGTAACTTATTGCTGCCTACAAAATGGTGGCCTGGGTGTGGAGATGCACAGAGCTATGAATGTGGAGTGGGTGGAGAAGCATTAAATGAATATCATGGAGTCATATCTTAGAAAAGTATTTGGTCACTAAGTTACATGTGCATTTTTATTTGTGAATGATGCACAATATATCATAAATGGCATGGCAAGAGAATTTTCATTCAAGTTCTGATGGATTCATGTCTGTCTCACTTTTCCCAGAGTGCTATTTCCTGGAGACCTGAATTGCATATATCTTCTTATCTTTATAGAAACCACATGTCTGTACTGGAGAGAGTATGGGCGCCCGTTGTGGACATCATGCAATGCCAATGTGGCTTCTAATCCTGCCTTTGCCACAATAACGTCCTTCACTTCTCATAACCTCAGCATTTTTCATCTTTTTTCACTTAGTTTTCATGTTTCCTACAGTGTTGACACAAATTCTTTCTAAGCATCTTCCTTAAAAGCTAGGTAGTGATAGTATTAACATATATCATGAAAGCCCCTCTGTGTTTCTCTTTTATCACGCTGATTGGCTGTTTCTACCAGGAGATAATGAACTTGGG